TCATGGAAACCTGCACAACCAGCCTTTTGCTTCAAAACAGCAACTGATCACCAACCCTTAAAGCAGGGGTGTAAAGCAGGTGATGTTGGGGTATCGAGTGGTCCCTGAAAGATGTCTCTGAATAATATCCTTTTTAGGATTTAAATTAAATCAGATGGATCCATTTGAGAGTCATATTAGTTGTATAGGTGTTTTGATGGATTGTGCTTTCAGGAACAGATTTTTCAGAATTTTTTAACACAGACAAAGCAAAATATTAGTATAGCGCCATCTGCTGTTCAACTTCGTAAGCAGTTCTTCAAGCAGTTCTGGCGGCAAAAGTCGGTCCTACCAGGTGCTAGCTAGTTGTACCTCATGTATGAAATGTAACTCATTTCATTGCCTGCATCTCCTGCTACTTTATGCTGCACCCTTATTCGATAAATAAACTTTGATTTGATTTGTACCTAATGCATTACCGACCAAGAGTATTGCACAATGGCTGAGGTTTGACTTTTTGATGTCCTGTCCCCCTAGAAAAATTTTGTATTAGCTAGATTGGAAATTATTGAGGTCATTAGTCAGTAATTTATATAATCCCCCTCAGTGTATTATTATTATGTAAAATTTGCTCATTAGTGAGACCATGTGGAAATATACTGGTTCTGAGATAATTCATATTATTTTTTTTGCAGGTTTGTAAAGTAAGAGACATTGAAAAGTGACATTAATTAATTAAAAGTGCATCAATATCCATTGATCAATCAATCTATTTTTGATATTCACTTGTCCTATCTGGGCTGCGGGGGGCCTGGTACCTATGAGCACATCACAGGGAACAATGTAGGATGGGTTGGTAGCCCATTACAGGGCACACTCACACCTATGGGCAACACAGCAGGGAACAACCCACGATGGGAGCCCATTACACACTCACACACCATTCACACCTATGGGCAACATGGTAGGGAACAATCCAGGATGGGATGGCAGCCCATTACAGGGTACACTCATACACCATTCACACCTATGGGCAATGCCAATCAGCCTCAGCATGTTTTTGAACGATGGGGGGGAAGCCAGAGCACCTAGGGGAAACCCCATAATGACACAGGGAGAGCATGCAAACTCCACAAACGGCCATGGGAGAGACTTGAACCCTGGTCTCAGAGATGTGAGGCAATAGTGCAAACCACCATGCCACCCCTGTGTATTAATACTAACAGTCATATTGCCCATAGTTTTTTGTTCCCAGTTCTTCTGTGATGAAAATATGATTTTAATAATATATAATGACTCGGACAGTGATTTGGTCCACATGCACCCTGAGGCTGGCCACCTGGGACATCAACACAATGGCCACTTCCATTAGCTAGACCAGAGGGCCACATTATGGAATTATAGATAGTAGTGCTCGACTTGCCAACAGACCACAACTGACACGCCCCACCCCTCTGAAATGCCTTCTCCATAACTAAGGTCCCCTTCAAATGGGTAGGACTCAACCAGGCAGGGCTCCAATGCTGTGCAGTGGGGGCCCACACATGCATACTGGTAAGGGTGCGTTACATCAATGGCTACCCCAGAGCTGCACTATTCCAAAAGGTCACATCGAAGGCCATTACCTGCGAGTGTCTGTTTACCTGGGCTGGCCTCCCAAAGGAAATCCTACCGTAGCGGAAGTGCTGTTTATGTCCTCCTCCCCCAGGTCTGGCTCTGCAGCCTCCTCCAGGTTCACCACAACCGCTGTTTATATGCCACCCCCATAGGGGCGTCGGAAATAGGGGGAAGGGGGGTCACACCCCCCCAGTATTGACAGATCCTCCCCCGATAGATAGATAGATAGATAGATAGATAGATAGATAGATTAGATAGATAGATAGATAGATAGATAGATAGATAGATAGATAGGGGTGACCTGGTGGTTCTCGTTCCTGAAAAACAACACTTTTAACATCCCACTTGGATGTGGGGCTGCTCATGGCAACACAGGTAGCCTGTCTCACTTTAGAGAATGGAGATTGGGCAATGGAAGCTTTAGGGAATGGAGATTGGGCAATGGAAGCTTTAGGAAATGGAGATTGGGCAATGGAAGCTTTAGGAAATGGAGATTGGGCAATGGAAGCTTTAGGGCAGGGGTCACCAAACTTTTTGAAACTGAGAGATACATCATGGGTACTGAGCCATACGAAGGGCTACCAGTTTGAAACGCCCTCCTAAACTTATCTAAACTTCATGTATAATAAACATTTTTTCATTTTTTTTAATATATTGTCATTTTCAAATCTATATAAATACAAATGTGATTAAAGAAGAATAATAAAAGGATAAAATAAAATTTTAGACGCTGCTCACTGGTGAATTGTGCTATTTTTAGAACAGGTCTGGGGGCGACTCATGTGGTCCTTGGGGGCATCCTGATGCCTGCTGGCACCATGTTAGTGACCCCTGGTTTAGGGCAATGGAAGCTTTAGGGAATGGAGATTATATTTTGCATTGTATATATCTGCAGTAATCATTGTTAAATCCAGAGAATCCTTGAGTCAGTCTCACTGCTATATATGAAAGGATTCAGCCTTTTAAGCACTCGATGAATTTTTACTCGATCTTGTCGTGATTCAAAAAAAGTCCACCAAGTCCAAAAGGTACAGTATATGAACAAACTCGGGTTCGCCGAGTGCTGAGGCACATAGAGCATAAGGAAGTCACCAACACTCTGTTGACTCAATAACTGTAGAGTTCCAAACGTCCTCTGGCATTGACACCAGCACAACAACTGCCCAAGGAGCTTCATGGAATGGGCTTCCATGGCCGAGCAGCTGCATGCAGGATTCACCCCAACAAGTGCGATATTAATGCCAGGTGTTGGATGGAGTGGCGTAAAGCATGCTGCCACTGTACTCTGGAGCAGTAGAAACATGTTCTGTGGAGTGATGAATCACGCTTCTCTGTCTGGCAGTCTGATGGATGAGTCTGGGTTTGGTGGATGCCAGGAGAACGTTACCTGACTGCATTGTGCCAACTGTGAAGCTTGATGGTGGAGGGATAATGGTATGTGGTTGTTTTTCAGGGCTACTGCTAGTTCTTAATGCTTCAACATACCAAGAGATTTTTGACAATAATATGCTTCCAACTTTGTGGGAACGGTTTGGGAAGGACCTTTTCTTTTCCAGAATGACTGTGCCCCAGTGCACAAAGCAAGGTCCAAAAAGACATAGTAGGGTGAGTTTGGTGTGGAAAAACTTGACTGGCCAGAACAGAGCCCTGACCTCAACCCCCCTGACCACCTTTGGGATGAACTAGAACAGAGATTGTGAGCCAGACCTTCATGTCCAACATCAGAACAACATAAATGTCCATGAACACAAATGTTCTGCTGGATGAATGGGCAAAACTTTCCACAGACATAGTCCAAAATCCTGTGGAAAGCCTTCCCAGAAGAGTGGCAGCTGTTATAACTGCAAAATGGGGACCAGCTCCATATTGATGCCTATGGATTTAGAATGGGATGCCATACAAATTCTTATTGGTGTAATGGCCAGGCGTCCCAATAGTTTTGTTCATATAGTGCATGTTTTCACCCTTTATATGGCTTTACATCTGCAACCTTTATTCAGCTCATATTAGCGTCCAGGTTTTTCGGACAGCTCATTCGCTCAGTATGTCTGCCAAGTCAGGAATTATCTGGTTTGCGTACATAAGTCATAAGGTCTTTTTTTGTAAGTCATCGGGTAAAAAGAAGCTAACTGCGGAATGCAAATATTGCAAATCATCGATAACTGAAGGCACTGGTAGAACTTCCAAATCTAATTGCCAATCGGAACATTAAGACATGTACCTAAGATAATGCTAGCGAACTCAGCTTGTTGTGAGGCTGTGAGTGGTCAAGTGTCCAGCATGTTTTTTCTAATGTAGATGGTCATATGCAATTGATTGATGAATGTACGTTTTTTTTTTTTTTTTTTTGTTAATTTAAGCTACCAGATAGTGACAGCAAAATTCCACTAGGACAATACAGTCTGTCTTAATCTTTATATCTTAATCTTATAAATTCTGATAATTTCATAAATTCACAGCACCTTTTGTTTGAGTACTTTTTTATGATATTATAGCTAAGATATACAGGATATACACATTTGTATAATAGGAAGCACAGTGAGAATGTGCACTTCTCGAGGAAATTTAACTGCAAGAACATGCAGCCATATTGTTACCTATATATACTTAACTTCACTAACTATTTAGCCGGAATTGTCGTGCATATCCTGGAACACACCTACCAAACTACCATACCAACATTCATAAAAAGAATTTAGTGACATTAGCATATTGACAGAACCAATTAACCAGATGCAGAATTTTGATTAAATCGAGAGAACTACAATGGCAGTGATATTTCTTAATGGACCCTCTACAACACTTGAGAGTTGACCATAAATAGCAACACAGAGAAAATTGCATGCTGAGTTGCCAAATGTTGGTACATTCGCATTGGTGGTTGAGGCTGCCATTTTCTTTCCTGTTTGCTAAGCTAAATACAAAGAACAAATTTGAGAAAACAGACTTAAGAGACTAAACATTTATATTTAATTGATATACATTTGAAAATGTTCACCACAGAGACAGTATTATTTAAGAAATCAACTGCTGTTTTTGCCATTTTACACACAAACCTGTATACTGCTGTGCCTGTATCATTACTTGCAATACGTATTAAAATGTGTAGCTAACACCTGAGTCCTCCTATACAACACCTGCATGCATACTGACTAAATTTAGAAGTTGTACTACTGCAGTTATGGATCAAGTCTAATTTGAGAACTGAAGCACCTTCCAGATCAACATAATTTATAATTATTGTCTAATTATTCACTATATGTGCTTTTTCTATCTCGATGTAGACTGGCCAGTTTCAAACATTTCTAAGTATTGCATCACGTTTAGATAATGAGTTGTTATTTATAAACGCCCAGAAAGATTCCAATAAAGCAAGAACACTGGATAATTCGGGATTATTGGCTGGATTCAGGCTTCTAGAGAGTAGATGGCCAGGCGGTGAATGGAGCTCGGAGGCACCGTGCATGAGTCAGACTGACGCAGGCTCAGAGGAGAGACGCAGCACGAGCATCCATTCAGTCCACCATCATCTCCGAGCGGTCAGCAGTCACCTAGCACGGCAGACACAAACAAAGGCGCCTTGTGAGGTGAGTGGCCACCAGCGATTCATTTCTCTGATGTCCTTCTTGAGGGTCCTACAATATTTTCATGTTAGAATCCGATACGGTTCGACGAAAATCAATTTCCCCCCGACGCCTGTGTCTGTTTTTCTCACGGCTTGTTGATGCGGAGCCGAATGAGATGGCGATGCACGACGGCCATGGTAACCGCTAGGCAAGCCGTTGGAATTTCATTTTAAGTTGATAATGTAACACGTATAAATTGATAATAACATAATCGAATTAATGCATATAAAATTGAGGGGAAAAACGCCATCCCCCGCCCCGCTCCCCTACCCTGATCTTTCCTTCGTTCTCTGTGGGGCGTGTTTCTCCCCCATGTTGTGTCGTCCTACCTGCTTTTTACGTTTATGGTTTTGCACGCGTATATATCTGTAAAATTAAGAAAAAAAATGCAAAATTACTACGATGCCAATTTGTATTTAAAATACGTTTTTAATATTTTCGTTGTGTGGATATTTTATCATTTAGGATGATCGACTCTACAAATATAGCTGTCATATATTATATTATATTATATTATATTATATTATATTATATTATATATGCCTTATTTTATCGAAGACGTGTTCTGAATACTGGTGGAGAGGTCTGGCTTTGATTTCGTAGATCCGGTTGACAACGGATAGATGGCGTGAAAGTGAATATTTTGCTTTTATACGGCTGAAATCAGGGAGAACGTATATTTAAATACACAATATAAATGTCACACATTTAAATTCTGAATATAAAACGTTAAAGTGTAAGAATGTGGAACTGTTAACATTCAACCCGTACCATAAAATAAAATTACGCAGATTGTCGATACTGCTGTGGCGTAAATAAACGGGAATGAAAACAAAAATTGTTCGTTTCTCAACAAGCAGTAAATATTTCATATATATGTTCCTAATATTTTACAGTCATTCAGTTTCATTACTATTCACATTTTTAACTCAAAATTAACCTATGGAGCAGAAACGGAATGAATTCTTTGTCCTTTATGGCGATATGATATAGTACTATAGGCACATGAAATAAAAATAATTTTGGTGCAGGTTTTACTTTATTTCGTAGAACAAATACTGTGAAGACTACAGAAACTAGCCATACATAAGCTCATATTGTATTACACAACACCATTGGTGCATTTGGTTTATTTTTATAGAGATACTTTGCCAGTATAGATGCATCAAAATGTACTCTGCTGTTAAAATTTATTGTGCCCTCGTCACATTGAGTAACCGTGCTGCAGAGGGATTCTTGCAGTTTATGCTTATACCCATGAGAAATCCAAAACCATGTATTGCTCAGAAGTACAAAAGTAATAAAAAAAACTGGATGTTTCCTCATTCGAGTAAGTCAGTGGCCTTAATACACTGGATGCATCTGAACCATACTTACAGCATAAGGTCAGGGGTAAATAGTGGCTGTCATGTCTCCTCTTCAGGTACATTGATTTGTATGTAATTTTTTTTCTAAGAGTAAATGGTGTGATGCATGTTTGTAATATCAGAGTCAAATCCTAAGCATAGGATGATTGCTAGGGTGATTGGTGAAAAGCCAGAGTCACACAACGAGAAAACCAGGAAACAAGCAAACGGTTATACACAAAAGAATTAGGGTTAGGGTTAGGGTCCTAGACTGTAACTCAAGTGTGGGAGACAAGGTTTTGCCGAAAGGTCAGAATCCTAACTGGCACAGGTGCACACAATCAGTAGCTGTTTAGTATTGACGTGAGGGGAACCTTTGGCAATTTCACATGGATGAAATTGAGCTTGATTTTGCGGAGGGTTTGAGAGAACCCCCCCCCTCCACAGAGGGCTCCAGACACCAGAAAATGCTGCTGTTGTCTGGGCTTCCCTTGGGATAGGGGTGCTTGAAATTCTGTGTGGGACCAATGAAACTCCATAGTGAGGTAGGCCAGTCCATAACCCTCCCAGTCAACCAGGTACTGCAGCGAGCTTTGTTTCTGTCAAGAGTCCAACAAAGCACAGTGCTTAATGATTGGGAAAAGGCCAGATAAATCATGGGCTTAGTTTTGTAGAAGGAAGTTGGAGATAACATGTCATGAATGGAGAGCCGGACCTTTTAAAATCAGAATTTAGTGATCATTGTTGACACACAACAACAAAATGTGTCTTCTGCATTTAACCCATATGTGACATGACATAGCAGGGTGCAGCAGTGCTTGGGGGCAGTACCTTGCTCAGTGAACCTCAGTGGTGCCTTGCTGGTCAGGGATTCGAACCTGCACTCTTTCAATTACAATTGCGCTTCCCTAACCATTAAGCCACCACTTAACCCAGAAAGTACTGTGGAGCAGGTCATCAGAGTTGATCCACATGATGCTTCTGGTGACGTATGGCATGTTATAACCACACACGTGTCACCTTGTCAACCCTTCTTCACCACAGCCACTTGTCTGTTGTTAGGATGATTGATCATTCATTAGACTAAGGGGACAGAAGTGGTTGATGACCTAAAATGCACTGGAATGGAATGAGGTTTTGTACGTACTCAGCCTATGGAAGAAACCAGCACCAATCATGTTGGGGTGGTATGACAATACCTTTGAAAAAATTAGATCGTGTCTCGGTTGAGATGATCTTCTTGGCCTTTGGATTTCCTCTGGTAGAGCATAATTACAAAAGAAAAACACAGTGGAAAAAAATCTCTCCATTTCCAGTGCAAAAGCCAGATCCTTCAGTAGAAGCAGTTGCCATCCTTTAGAAAATCTATCCATAGCCACCAAGTTGGTGGTTGAGCTTTGCGAGTTCAAGAGATCTGTGACAGAATCAATAGTGATATGTGACCAAGGTCAGTTAGGTATCAGCAAGGGTTCCAAGAGACCCCAAGGGCAGCTAGCAGCTCACCTTTCCATCGGGAAAAGACTGCTCCCCACCCTGGCTTCTGTAGCATCTACTTCTACTGCAGACAGGACTGTGGGATCTGGATGCTTCAGTATTGGGGTATTTGTGAATCTGGTCTTCAGTTCTTTGAAGGCATGGTCAGCCGTGTTATTACAGAGTACTCTAGGAGATACATCCTTTAGGAGTGCTACAAGTGACGTTGCTTGAGAACTGAAATTTCGTATAAATCTACAATAGGAGTTAGTATATCCCAAGAATCTTCCTACTTTCTTCATGTTTGTGCATTCAGGCCACCCCACCACAGAATTTACCTTAGATTGATCCATCTGTAGTCCCGGAGCACTAACTAAGAAACCATTGTTTGAAACTGACATTTGTCTAGCTTAACAATAAACGTGTTGGCCAGGAGATTCTGGAATAAAAGCTGAATGTATTTATGTGTCTTCGATATGTGCCTTGATGAGGAGCAGACAAGAATATTGCCCACATAAGTAACATCACATTTTATCACTTATGTAATGTCTCATTAATGAAGACCTGAAACAGGCATAGCACATTAACCAAACTATAGGGCATTGTGAAATATTCAGAATATCGATTGCTAGCCTTTATTTATCTCCTTCATATATCCCGATGAGATTATATGCACTCCACAGATCCAACTTGGTAATGGTTTGCTTCAGTTAAGTGTGGGATTGTGTTAAGTGCTAAGCAAGGCCTAATATGATCTCAAAACTAGAAGCCATTATGACTATAAACAAAATGGGTTCTGTATCTAGTAAACCCTCCTGTCGGGTGATGGGACCGGTGATCTGAGTTATCTAATCTGTTCCTAATTGTTTACCATTCATGGCTTTCTCAGTCACGAGTGATGGAAAAGTTCAGATTGGAGGGTGTGATTAATTCCCTGGTGAAACACCATGATCAGGGCATCATTGCTTCAACCACAGGCAGCAGCTGAGGTTCCGAACTCCAAGATATATTTTGCAGGAGATCTTTTGCCCAACACAGAGCTGCCCTGCCCTCCTGCCTACAGCCAGATGGTGAAACATCTCTGAAAAATGCTTAATGGATGCTGACAGGTACCTTGTTATTGGACTTTGTTGAGATCAAATTGCCATTGCCTATTGTAAAACTTTACCCATGAGATGAGAAATAAATGCTACCCTAGCTGAATCTAGAAAAGCTGCAGATCGATTGGTATAATATAACAAGCACTGTAGTTGAAAACCCTTGCACACATTTGAGATTCTGTCATTTTTATTTGGTTAGGCTGACCTCACTCTTTGCTTACTACTCCGATTGGTGAAACTCCCAGGGCTGCTGGTGCAGATGGTGATCGGATATTAGAAGAGAGGTTGCATTTGGCATTTTTAATAGGCTACTTTCTTTAAGGATTGCAGAATGTTCCAGAGCTGGGTTTTATATCCTAACAATGTACCTTGTGCAGAGATCTGCTTTTCAAGAAGTCAGCTCTGCTGGGTCTTTCACTAAGGTCTATAGTCTTTGGCTATGGAGATGAACTTATAGACGAAGATCCAGATCCAGTTTCAGAGCGTAGTTCCAAAAGCTAAATCGCTAATCCAGTATCAGAGTGGAAAGTCAAACATAGGAAGATCAGGTGGTAATGGCATTTTTGGGAACATCCAGAGTCATAGAACAATGAAATAAGCAATGGGTCATACCCTACAGAATCCAAACTGAGAACTAATGCTAAGACCATAAATTAATGGCGAGACACAAGGATTTAAGTATCTTAACTGGCACAGATGCAATCAATCAGAAAACAGCAGAGTGGCCTCAGGGAAACCTGTCTGCCATGATATGAAACTTTTGTATATTAACAAAAGCAGCCCAATGCACTTGATTTTACACTATGGGCAATTTAGAGTTATCATTTCACCTAAATACTTGTTTTTGGACTGTGAGAAGAACGTACACATTCTCAGAAAGTACTTTTCAAAATAAACATAATGAGGCAATCTCAGTATCATCAAATGGAGACCTGTTTTTACACAGCTGTCAGTGAACAGTTTCATGTTTTAAATGGACTTTCATGGATTGTTGTCAGCTAGGCAGATATGTCAGCGTCGACAAAATACAAGCTAATCTTGCTTTATATTTATAGTCAATGATGATGTTAGTTAGCTATTTAGCTTCCACTGTTAAGATGTTAAAATTAGCAATGCAAAGTAATCCATACGAACAACCATCATAAATACAAATGTTAGGTAGTATTAACATAAATACTAGCTAAATCGGTGTCTTCATAAAACATCTTTTCATTGGTCACTTAGATGTCAAACGTTATCAGTAGACAGAGGAGCCAATGCTCTGATGCTGATGAGACAATATGATCTTCATTACTGCTCCAGTAGTCAGACCCTGCATTGGAAGTTGAAGCTCCAATGCAGTAATGTTAGCATCTATTAATTTTTATAGAAAAAGTCACATATTTAAATATAAGGAAACTCAACATTTTATTAATATTCTAAACGATAAAATGGCTTACATTGAATGCAGGATACATTTACTAACATCTCACAGTGAAATGGGTTGCCATATTTTTAGACGCCTCAGCTGTACCAAGGAATTTGTTGTTGAGGCAGATTAAAGCATCTTTTCAGCAAAACAATGTTTGAACTTTTGTCATTCTCACAAGGCAGTTATCTCATGATTACATTTTCTGAACTTCTTTATGAAATTCATATTATGCGTACTCTGAATAGGTAAAATAACTGAAGAAAGGAATAGAAATGCATTGTCTGACTCAAAAATATTCATTTTTTATAATTCACTACTAGTGAACTACTAGTTTCATACAAGTGGGACCAATTTCAGTTTGTGAAATTGCATATATTTAATGTAAATTTATATGTTTATAACTTTAGGACAGTGTTACCCCACCCAGTCCTTGGGGACCCTCAGATTGCCCACATTTTATTCCCTCCCAGCTCCTGGGGGCACAAAGTGGACTGGATTAGGAAACAGTGCTTTAGGAACTTGAATTCAAGATTATTCAGCTCACAAAAAGGACGACTTGTTTACTTCTGAAGAGAACACTGCATAAATCAATGATTAAATCACAGGGTCAATCTCAAGCTTCAAATTTTTCTGAAGGTGGTGATGGTGATGACAAATCCTACAGGATTCCAGATACGTGGGCTATCAGAAAAGCCATGAAGCATATACAAGTATAATCACATGGGATTTTCTAAAGAATTTTAACATTAATCCTTTTGCCAGAATATCCCCAGAAAACATTATACTTTGATTTTTATTCAAGGTTAAATCGGATACATTATTTAAAAAAATATTTAATTTAACATATATTTTTATAAAGAGCAAAAAGTAAAAGCATACCACTTACTGTACTGTATGTAGAATGACTTATAAATATATATATTTCCTTAGGGGTTTGTCATATAATTCAGCAGACATAACTATAAATGGCCTGTTTTAAAAAGACGAATGTACTACCATTAACTACATTTAATTTTGGGTTAATTCATTAAATCCTACATTTAAAGTGGAATCTGTTTAATATGTAAGTTGTAACTTTCATTCTATTTGGATTAACCTACTGTTTACTTTATGAAAGTTACTAAACAACCCTCTGCATTTATCATGTCATGTCTAACATTACTTTCTTTAGAAAATAATGTTTTTTTCTGATTGTTGCACAGAGATAAACATTGGGGATGGTAGAATTGATCTAGCATGTTAGATATATTTGGATAAATAAGTCACGTGCACTGCATCCATTTATGCCTGTTCTTGACCATAAATAATAGCACATTTTGGTTCCACTGTCCGTGGAACTGAATATTCATATGCAGTTCTGTGGCTCTTTCAAAAGCCACCACTGGCCAACAAACAGTGTGATCAGGATTTCCACCCAGGGTAGAAGAAATGAAGGCAGAGTGAGAGCTGTTAAGGGACTGTCCTACTTGTTAGTACTACTAAGAGAAAGAAAAACTGTGTCAGTGAGCTGGACCAGTGTTATGACCCGCTCTGGGGTTAGGCTGTAACATGAAGGAAAGTGTCAAGGTATGATGTTACAATACAAACATTTATTGATACATTAATAGATTGTAGAGATATTTGGTACACGGGTGGCAAAAAGACGCTAAAAAATACAAAATACCAGAGTCGGGTAATTCAGGTCCAGAGAGTAAAAGCCGGGATCTTGTTTCAACCAACCAGTTGAGTACTCTGTGACTGTGACTCTTTATGCTCAACTGGTTGGTTGAAACAAAATCTTGGTCTGGACTTTTACTCTCTGGACCTGAATTATCCAACTCTGCAAAATACTAAAAAGACAGTACTAATGGTTGAACATGGGGCAGAACAAGGCTTTCCATTTGATATTAGAGTATTTGGTTTCTTATATTGTTCAGGTACAAAATAGGATGCTGTTCCTTGTCTAGGAGTTGTCACAAGTGGAGTGTATCTAAGTGGCCTCATTATAAATGATTTGACATTTTTATTGTTTACTCTCAGTGAAATAACTGCAGAATCTAGATAAGGTGAAGCACTGAGTCCACACTGTGGATTATACTATCATGCACGGAAATATAATATGGCGTGTGACTCATGAAGTCCAAATTGTAATATAGTGGTACAAGATGCTGAGCATGCAAAACAGAACCACGCTTAGATTTTAACAAGTATATTCTTTTAGTATTGTTTGTATATAAGTCCTGTGTTGTATGTGAATGCATTAAAAAAATTTTATATATATGTGTGTGTGTGTGTGTGTGTGTGTGTGTATATATATATATATATATATATATATATATATATATATACACACACACACACATACATATATATACAGTAAAACCTCGGATTGCGAACATAATTCGTTCCGGAGACGTGCTTGTAATCCAAAGCACTCGTATATCAAAACAAATGTTCCCATTTAGAAATAATGGAAACACAGATGATTCGTTCCACTACCCAGAAATATTCATATAAAAATTATTAATACAAAATATAAAGTAAAAATGCATAAAACAAATTAATCTGCACTTTACCTTTGAAAAGAATCGCGGATGGTGTGAGGGAGACGAGAGAGAGGAGAAGAGGAGGTTTATTTTGTAGGACGACTTTCACTATAACTAACGGAATCACTGCTATCTGTTGGCTCACTGGAATCTTTTTCTTTTTGCGTGACTTTAACAAGGAACCTATCCAATGACAGCTGCTTTTGACTCCTTTTTGATTTTGTGGAAATGTGGACATTGCATTGTCATTAAACAGATTCATCGCTCGCACTGCTACGCCCTTATTTAGGTGGTGCTTTTCTACAAAATTTTGACTATATGAGTGAGGCACGCCAACTGAGACTGAGCATGGGAGACGATTACCCACAATCTCACAACGAGAGAGAGAAGAACTATCGGCTCAGTTGTGATTACGTGACGCTCGGCAGACAAAGCGTATACTCGTATTGCAAGATCTCTCGTTTATCAAGTTAAAGTTAATTTTAAATTATTGCTCGGCCTTCTAAACACTCGCAAACCAAGTTACTCGCAATCCGAGGTTTTACTGTGTGTGTGTGTGTGTATATATATATATATAATTTCAGTTATATTTAACTGCTCTGAATTTGAGTTGACTCCTTTTAAGAAATTTTGGTGACACTGTACATTAACTGCACCTTCATAATGCATTCATAGAACATTCATAAGCAGCATGTAAGTATACCTTAACATCCTAACATCCTCTATAATTGTATAATGTTTGTTATAATTCATAATTAAAGGTGTTAAGTTATATAAGAATGTTATTGTATACTTACATGCTGCTAATGAATGTTCTACGAATGCATTATGAAGGAGAAGTTAAGTGTTACCGAAATTTCTTTATATTACATTGCAGTCTCTGGAAATTTTTAGCATTTGGGTCTTTTCGTCTTAGGTATTCTAGCACAATGACAAAGGAGGAGACAGCTGAGGCGGAGGAAGCACAGACAGGCCTTGAGTATCAGAGCCTGGGCCTGGAGGCACGGAAGCGGCCTATGGTTCACCCATCTGCCCCTGCACCACTTCCAAAAGACTACGGTAAGTCATTCTAGCAAACCCCCTTTCATTGGATGGCTGTGGAAGAATACCTTCCTACATTAGCTACCTACCACTTCCTACAGTACATTCTGCAACTACACAGAGATTAGAGTATTTGTGGTAAAACAAGTGTTGTATTTATATCTACAGGTATGAAATGGTTCACTAAAGCATTTTCATTACTGTGTCTATGGCCCCTTTCACCTAACAAGTACAGTTTCCAATGATGTAGCCTTCTCATGGCCTAACGTCAAATTACAGTTTTCCATTTTCATAACCAGCTGATTTCCAACTGGAAATCTTTATTTATGTTGTTAGTTATATGGGTCTAACTATTACTTTTGATCAGAAGTTCTGCACCAGTATCACCTTATTGTAAGTATAATTTGGACAGTCCCTCGGTTAAGAACATCCGACATACAGACAACTCATATTTGTAGCTCCATCCATTTTCTGTAGCTGCTTGACCTATTCAGGGCCGTGGGTATTATTATTGTACCTACAAATGTACTGAGTTACCTACAAATTCGACTTAAAGACAGACTTGGGGATTAGATCTCGTTCGTAACCTGGGCACTGCCTGTATTTTATTTGTCTCGCTCCACTGCACTGTACATTTGGTGGAACTGTTTAAGTTTAGTTTAGTGTTAAGGGCCATGCACAATTATGAATTCAAATATAAAATATATATCATACAACAATAAGTCATTTTGTGTGACTTCTGCATCACAAAATCTTGTATTGTTTTGTGGGTACTGGGCACTCTGGATGGGAGGGCATTGAATTTGAATTTGTCGTAAAGGATAGTACTTCAGACTGGTAGTAAGCTTGTTGTCAATGGGGGTTAGCCGGAAGGATATCAGTGTATGGCAACAGGATGGATGATATGCTTGACTGGACAGGTTTCCAAATTACATTACATTAATGATGTTTCCATAAATATTTACTTATTTCCACTTTATTCTGCTTCCATCTGCAAAAACTAATGATAAATTTAAATGCAGTTCCCTGTATTATAGCTGTATTTGTGTGATATGCTGTTTAATTAGTCGTAGGTTTTTTATTAAAAGGACACACTTATAACCTTTGAAGTGAGTTTTTAGGAATAGTAGGCCTAAATGATGTTTTTGCTTTTATAATTATCATTTTAGTATGGATTTAAAATTTCAAAAGACTTTTAGAGCTGGTTTTCAGAAATGAAAATAGTATATGGGAGTTAATTTGCATATCTGATGAGCAATTTACATGTGTTCCTATTCTGACCGTCACGATTTAATGGAACCCGAGGCAAAAACAGAAATTATGAAACGCAGGAATTTTTAGGTAAAAATGCATTATTATGTAGTTTTTTGGAAACATCCTTATAAAAGCAAATATGGAAGTTCTAAATGTAATGACCATCCACCTTCTAATCACTTATGTTGGTAAGGGACAGGATATAAGGGTTAGGGTTACAAAATAAAAACCCAAAAACAATCCCATACATATCCAGAAAGAATGAGACCTAGAAGCCGAGACAGCCCCAGTACATGCTTTACTTACATTATTCTGTTTTTATTTTTATTTATATGCCTGATTTATTGTATTGATTGTCTTGATTTTCCTTGATTATTTTGTGCAACACCCCGAAGTAAATTTGTTCTATGTAAAAGACAAATAATTCTGATTCTAATTCTGATTTTCATGCTAATCAGACCCTTTCCTGCGGGGGCCAGTATTGTCATTCAGGAACACTGCACTCCCAGCAGGATAGATATCTTTCAAAGAAAGGTTATTTATTGACGTTTACATTTATCCTGAAAGAGCACTAGAACATAGCAGCTTGGACCATTCTCACTGGGGAATCTATACTCAGCTACTACAGTATATATTACTCATGGTTGTGAGAATAGGGTGATGGGTAACTCATGTAACCTGTTTGTTTCCACTGTTCAATAGACCTTTCTATTTGTGCTTTACATTGCTGTAGTCACTGAATTACTTTTTAAATTATAATAAAGGGTTCTACTACAGTATCAGAATCAGAATTTTTATTGTTCACCAAGTGCACAAGGAATTGCCTTGTATCTTGAACCAACGTACAGACATCACTGTTGAGGGGTAAGCACTGCTGTCTGTGGCCGGTGGTGTTTTTTCTTCAGGCATCCATGCCACCCTTCCTGAAGAAGCTGAACGGTCTTCATCGCTAAAGTTCCCTCCCTCCTCAACCATCGTGTCTGTCTCTGCTTCCCATCCAGCTTTCACGTTTTTCGATCCAAATGATCCAGCCTGTCAGGAAATCCTCTTTGATCCGCACACCACAATTCCAGAACTGTTCGCCATCATACGACAGTGGGTGCCCCAGGTCCAGCATAAGATTGACACCATTGGCAGTGAGGTGAGTGGTGGCAAGTATGAAAATCAAAAGCCTGATCTAGCTTGCGAGACGCCCTGTTGACACAGGGCATGGTAGTTATGTGACGACCCATAAATGCTGAACACTATCAAAATGGGGTACATGTAAAGTAAGTCAGCTAGCCGTGCAAATGAATTGTATCGATTTTGGAATTTCCAATCATATTGTGGTAACGATACTGCAGCCAAGATTAAAATCAGCAAGTATTTACTTCTTGTTCTGAAAGATAATATAAATGCTTATTCTGTATTCATGAAGTCGGTCTATTTAGCCCTTCCACAGTCCCCCCCACCCCCCGCAGTTGGGTAAAAACAGCATAACATTTGTGGATCCCCTTGGCGAGTGGCACCAAAATATACCAAAAACACACGATGCAAAGATCACTGAGAGCTATCATGCGAGGGACTGCGGTAAACACGCTTGGTGCCCTCCAAAGCAGCACTCAACCTATGTGTTACGCATTTCTGAATCGATAAAGTTTTCGTGTCGCCCGTCGGCCTTTGCGTGCTCACGTTAATCTGCAAATGTGGAATGTTGCCATGCAGGAGGGTCGAGTGTATTAACTTGTCATTTCCATAGTAGTATTAAAATTAGACTTGCCCCATAGCATTTTTTTACCTATGCATCACATCAGTAAAAGAAACAGGTATTCATGTAAAAGCAAAAACATTATATACCTGCTACATATGCTGCGTATTCCATTTTAATGTTACAACTCATAAGTCTCCCACATCTAGTTCTGACAGCTAAAGTTCTTTATTAAGATAATTAACAGATTTATTTGGGAATCTTTCACTGACTCATAACTGATCTTTTGATACTGTGCTACATTATTATCATAGGTGAAAGAATGTACTAGCGTTTCATTAGGAATGGCCAGATTCAAGAGCCATGTTACTCTTGTTCTTAGCCTCAATGTAAGATACAACTGCCAGGTATCCCCATTGGTACTTTTACTGACACAGGAATCCTCAATTCACACCAGCAGAAATATATTAGGACTTGACCGAAAATAGTTTGTAAATTACAAAAATAGTTTGCCTCAGAATGGAGCACAACAAAATGTGACAAAATAGGTCATCATCAACACTATTGCCCTTTAATAAAAAGCTTTTTTTAAAAAAAAATATATATATATATTGAATAAAACATTGCCGTGAACTGTAGGGGAAATTCTATGAACAGTGAGATTCTGATGATTTTTGCAATTAAATATTCTGTAGTGGAATGGAACACAAACTGTGCAACAGGGGACAGATTTTGTGGATGTCTGTGTTTCATGGAAACACTGAATACATCTGAAGTATGGACTGTAATGTACCAAATCTTTATTGCCATTAGTGATACTGCATCTTGGTTTAAATTAGGCTTGAACAGAAATTCTGGCTACTTATTTGCAAAGTTAATTTCTGTTGACTTTCTCGGTTGAATTTTGCACAGATCAAAACAGGAGCATTGCCGATAAGGAAGCAGTACGTTATTGTTGCTTTTCAATCCCTTTATGTTTATGGTTAATAACTAACGGACTAACGTCTTTGCTCTCAGATCTTAAAGAGAGGCTGCCTTGTCAACGACCGCGATGGACTGACAGATATGACCCTGCTTCACTACAGCTGCAAGGCTGGGGCCCATGGAGTCGGTGAGCAATACCTCCTCACTTGGCTTTATACAAATAACTTCATAGTATTCCTTTCTCGTATTTCTTGTAAAGCAAACAAAACACCAGAAGTTGCATGCAGCCCGTCAAAACACGAAGCATGAAAATAAACTAACAATAAATTCAATCTGAAGTATTCCTACCATATATATGCCCACAATATTTTATTACCACAACAGCGCCTCCCTGTGCTGATTCCCTTCAGCATGCCTGAGATAAATCAGCAGCTATAAATCATCTGAACATTTTACGTACTTTCTTGTATTCTACAACTACAGCTCAGGGTCCTCTCTCCGTCCGAAGACGGTTGCCCACAGTGCGGCAATGTGCGTGTGCCCTGTGACGGACTGGCACGGCTAGCCATGTGCACTATGGTGCCTTGGATGAGGTGCCAGTCCCTTGCAGGGCACCCATTCACACACTATGAGTGATTTAGAGACATCAATTTACCTAGCAGCATGATTTTTGGACTGCAGCAGGAAATCCATGCAATCATGGGGAGTTTTGACTGAGGTATTGAGGTTTGTTTAGCGCCTTAAGCGTGCAAACGTTCCCGTCTGTGAAATCTAAGGATTTTTGGCACACTGTGGTCTTATTTATTTTTAGGGAGAGTTGTTCAGTCAAATATTAAACTGGTTAAGACTCCAAAATTTTCGGGGCAACAGTGTCCCAAGGAAGTAAATCAGGCGTTTGCTAATATTATTTGGGAGAATGTAACTTTTTGGTTCACATCACTTTGTAAAAGCAGGAAAAGGTACATAAGCCAATACTGGATAAGCGGTTTTACATATGATTTTCTGCAGGTGACCCTGCTGCGGCACTTCGACTGTGCAACCAGCTGATTAGCCTGGGTGCCGATGTAAGTCTGAGAAGCCGCTGGACCAACATGAACGCTCTGCACTACGCTGCCTACTTCGATGTGCCAGAACTGATTCGAGTGTTGCTCAAAGCTTCGAAGCACAGAGGTAACGAGATTTGCTTACCTCATGCACAATCTAACAGACCATCTGAATGTGCATCATTCGTGCACCTTATACGGTGACATGATATCCATATTGTCTACTGATGAATGATGCACGTTTTAAGGTTAGTCTGCGCTCGATGCTCCGGTCCTGGCATAGAATACAGGTGGTCCCCAGGTTTCGAACGAGATCTGTTCCCTAAGGTTGACTTTAAGTCAAATTTGTAGATAAGTTGGAAAAATAATAATACAGTGCATATTAATAATTATCATAATCCAGTAATAAATAAAAGTAGCTAAGTATGGTACTGTACTGCACCACATACTGCTGAACTGCTGTAACTGCGCAATGTTTTCACAAACTAGTGAGGGCGTTTATTACAGACCATTGTATTGTGCACCATTCTGCACTTCTGGTTAGATGGGAAACTGCATTCCGTTGTACTTGAACTTGTGTCATGTGCAATAACAATAAAGTTGAATCTTAATCTTGAATTTTTAATATAATGGACTTTATGGTAGTCTGTTCATAAGTACAAGTTGACCCTAAGTCAGACGTTCTTAACCTGGGGACTGGTAGAATTAATTGCAGAAATAACTATACATTGCATTTAATCAATCAATCAGTCAATCAATCAATCAATCAGCCAATCAATTAGTTAATTAACTGGGCAGCAAAGTACCTATAGCATAGCATTTTGATTTATTCAGGGTTCCTATTCAGTAAATGAGGAAACATTATGGTAATGGAAGGCATATTTTTAGTATTTTATTAATCATTTATTTGTATCCACAGTACTGAACTCTACTTGTAGCGACTTCAGCCATGGGACGGCCCTGCATATTGCGGCCTCAAACCTTTGTTTGGGGGCTGTTAAGTGCCTCTTGGAGCACGGGGCAAATCCCACCGTCAGGGTACTGCTTTTTGTCTTCCCTTCTTCTGCTCCTGTTACATAGCTGTACCTCAGGTAGTTTAATGGCAGTGCTTGTTTAGATGGTATTTCATCTTTTTTTGCTGTTGTTGTCTAACTCTAAATGTACCCTAAACCAGTTCCCTAGTACTAGGTTTCAAGAACATTAAAAAAGTGAAAGGTACCACTTGTATGCATTGACTATTAAAGGCAAGAGAATGAAGTTTTGTTGTCATCTAATGACATGCAAATCAGTCAGAATGGCTGTAAAATTGATTGCAGTGGCTGAAGTTAGTGTATAACTGAATGTTTAGTAGGTGATGGAAAGTTTGGGTGAATTTCTTGCCAACATAAAGCTAAATTGTAAAAGATATACAGTATTTTGTAAATGTTGCATAGGTTGGGTACATTGCTTCTGCCAAATGGAAAATCGCATGAAATCTCTTGTTATTTCAGTGTCCGTTGTCTTTTTGTCGCCTTGGCAGAATGACCGTGGCCTGGGGCCGGCTGAGGTCGTCCCAGACCCTATGGATATGAGTCTGGACAAAGCGGAGGCAGCAATGGTGGCCAAGGAGTTGAAGCAGCTTCTGCTAGATGCCGTGCCACTCAGCTGCAACCTTCCACGCGCCACCCTGCCCAACTATGATAACATTCCTGGAAATCTCATGCTTTCTTCTCTGGGGCTAAAACTCGGTGACCGTGTTCTCCTGGATGACATGAAGGTGCATTGAAAAGCAGATCTAATTGTGTGTGTGTGTGTGTGTGTGTGTGTGTGTGTGGCGGGGGCGGGGGCGGGGGGGGAGGGTAATGCGACTTGCATCAAACCTTGAATTAAGAAACCCAGTGGAAATGAGGATTATTTGCATCTTATTGTGTCACAAACGCACTAATGTAGTTTGGGTAAAAGGAGCTTTTTTAAGCGAAAATTGCTAAAGGCTTTCCAACTGTAGGGTATTCAGGGAGGGGGCATGCATACTGAAAGCCCATATGGGCTGTAAGCATTGTGAGTGTTAATGTTTATAGTGCTGAATTGAACAACATGGGTAGAGGTTACTGGTATCGGGTAGCTGCCCTGTAATGCCGTATCTCATCTGCAGGCGGGGACACTGCGTTTCTGCGGGACAACTGAATTTGCCAGTGGCCAGTGGGTCGGTGTGGAGCTTGATGAAGCTGTGGGAAAAAACGATGGTAGTGTAGGAGGGGTACGCTACTTCATCTGCCCCCCCAAACAAGGTAAATGGATCTGAAAGTTCCAGGTCCCTTAATATGAATAAAAAGATTAATTTATTTTGGTTCTTTTACAATGACTTCAAAATCATTATATAGTAATGTCCACTTATTACAATTATATCATGCAAACAAAATCCACCAATAACTGAAAACTGGAAAGCTATAGGCTAAAGCCTAAACGTATTATACATAAATTGTATTTTCAAGGCAAAATTATAATTTAATCCTTCTTTATAAACAGCAGCTAAAATAGAATAGTCAAAATGCAAAACAAACACAAACCCAAAACAAAACGCAAAACAAAATACAAAAATAAAAGAAATACTCAACTCAAAATATGAAACAGAAAAATAGAAAATTTCCATATTCCAGTCACAATCATAACCCACATACATTACAGTCCATTTTTTCATATACTAACAATGAGAACAGTCCTTACCTCAACTTCAACCGAAAAATCTCATACAAAACTCATATATTTAGTACTCAAAAATATCTTAAAACCTTTCTTAAATAGTGCATATATTTTGCTCATTTTTAAACAGTTTTTCATGTTGTTCCAAAAAATAATTAACTGAAATAAATACCTCTTTGAACTGTTCTTATTGTTGGTTTAATAAAAAATATTCCCTTTAAGATTATACTGACTATAACTAAAAAAGGTTTGTATTTTAGATGTTACTGTAAGCTTTATACTTGATTAATCCAATATTGTGATCAACCATGTTGTGAAATTTTAATAACTGTAATACATATATGTATAACTATGAATTTAGTACAGGAAATAAGATAGAATTTATAAAGTTAATCTTAATAAGCTTTAAAACTCCAGGGTGTAGTTAAAACAAGTAAGTTTGTGAAGTTTCTTTTCTATGAAAATCACACTGACCTTTTCTTTCAGGACTTTTTGCCCCTGTGTCAAAAATTACTAAAGCCGCTGATCAGACCCCATCATCTGTCACCTCCACCCCCAAGACTCCTCGCATGGACTTCTCCCGCGTCACTGGCAAGAACAAAGCGGAGAAGAAGGAGAAAGAACGAGGAAAAAGTATGAGGAGCACTACAATGTCAAGAACATTACTTAAGCTAGTAACATCAGAAACATTAATGTGTAACCCATAAATAACCCCCCAGCGGGGAGCAGAAATGTGGACTATGTGGCAGGGAGCTGGGAGGGAGCAAAAACATGGACTGTCTGTGGGTCACCAAGGACCTGGTTGGGAAACACTGCTGTAATAGAAACATTTTTTGGTGCATATTGGGTCACAGTCAGAGTCTTTATCAGGCATAGATTACGCTAGATGATTTTTGCAATATTTCCACAAAAATGAAGCCTCATTTATTATTTTATGTGTGCCGGAGATAAAATGAAACACATTAAATGCTTTTTAATGTTTCTATGAATGTGGCTCTTTATTGAGCACTTATGCTAGATAATACTTCCAATGATTCCCTGCAGCTCTTCGAAACAAGTCTTTGTCTGCTGGAAGCCTGAACCCCGATGGAGTGACGGTGGAGGTGGGGGACCTGGTGCTGGTGGCTGCACAGAAGCAGGGAATTGTCCGTTTCTATGGCAAGACAGATTTTGCTCCAGGTAGTCCCACATCCTGGTCATAACATCAACAGTTTAACGGCATTGCAGGAATTTTCTGTGCTAAAACGTATTAATCCTTATTATGTCACCCAGGAGATAGACCTAAAAAGTACTCAGAGGCCTTTGTTTGTGTGTTTCTTTATGTAAATGTATCTTAAATGTATCTTATTTAGCTTTAGCTTAAATTTTAATGCTACTACATCACATCCTACATTCACAATGCAGCTACCTTCACATCCCACATTCACAATGCAGCTACCTTCACATCCCACGTTCACAATGCAGCTACCTTCACATCCCACGTTCACATCCCAGCAGAGTGGTTTTGCTTTTGAACTCACCTAACTTGAATTACTTACATAGACTACCCATCTATGGATATATGTTTAAATGTAATAGGATCAAGGAAAATTAATGTGGGGGAAAAAACTTAGAAGAAGTCATTTGTTTCACAGCTGTATTTCAATGTTCAGCTTCTATTCCAAATATATAATTACCTGCATGCATAATTCTATGAATGTATAGGATACTGGTTTGGGGTGGAGTTGGAGCAGCCAACAGGAAAGCATGATGGATCTGTGTTTGGCGTTCGCTACTTCACCTGCCTGCCCAAGCATGGAGTTTTTGCACCACCATCTCGTGTGCAGAGGTAAATATTTCTTGATTCAAACTTGCTGCAAATTACTATTTAATTTTATTATGAATTGCAGTCCTTGGAAATGCTATGGTGTGTTTCTCTGAGAGATGAATAATTACAGAACGCTTACTTTGGCAGTGCAGTCTGCTTTGTGTTAGTTTGTAGGCTGAATTTCTAAAAGTGTGACGTCGAGTCTTTGATTCCTTGTTTAGGTTAGGAAATGGATGTTTCTTCTGCAGCAAATTTTTGTTCCCTGACACCTGGATTTGCTTCTTGTCCTTCCAGAATTGGTGGACCAAAAGAGTCTCAGACTGATGGCACTTTGGTGAAGAAAGTTCACCAGGTTACTAGTAAGTATGACATGAGAAATCTAGAAAAGGGGTAACTGCATGTTTTTAAATACACACAATGAGCAGAGGCAGGAGTTGACCATACAAACCTGGGAGTCTGAGGTGAGGAGACCCCCCCGCGAACAGGGCTGATTTTTATATAACATGCCCAGCTCATGACGGCTTGGTTTATTTTGAGAAAGTATATTTTCTTTTCTTAGTTTGAACCCAATAAGCTTAGTGAGTTTAAAATGGGAACTGTTTACAAATTGTTCACAATATTAGATCAGATTAGATTAGGTTCAGTTTTATTGTCATTGCACAAGAACTCAAAATACTCAAACTACAAAAATGCAATTTAGCATCTAATCTGGTAAGTGCAAAAAGGTGCAAAATTGCTAGAAACTGCTGTTCAATATATACATAATGTGATAAAAAAAAAGTGAATATACATCTATAGAGTAGTATACCTGGTTTGTATATGTAGACAATATATACACACACAAAAATAAATATAAAGTATGAGCCTGGAGTCAATGCTAAAACTAAAATCAGGCTAGTTTTGCATGACACGGATGCAACATGTTACATCGTTTTCTGTTTTAAGCTGTGTTGTATCTGATGTGCTTATTCCCATTTGTTTACTTCAGTGTCCCAACCCAAGCGTAACTTTACGTCAGTAAGAACACCCAAGGAAATTACATCAGAAAGCTCCATATCAAGGTACAGCTTAAGTGTCCTTCATTTCCTATTTCTTTTCATGAAATGAATGCTTTTTACCCAGCATTTCATTTTTAGATCATGGTATTACTTTTGAAGTGAGTAAACCTGTCTTTTGGTTTTAAAACTCAAAATACACTTTAAGGTGGCTAAAGTAACGCAACACTAATATTAGTATTTAAACAATTCGTTTGTCTTGTCTTGAGTGAGGCAATGGAGTTGTATCAGAATCAGAATCTTTATTCTTTGATCTTGGCTTGATTACCTTTTTCTACGTGTATAGGCTAGTATATTAACTGCTGATTTCTTTGTCTACCAGGTTGCTCTTCTGTTGTTGGTTTCCCTGGATGCTGCGTGCAGAGATGCAGTCGTAACCCCCGATTTCTTAATCCTTCTCTTCATTCTCTAGATCGAATGCTCTCTTTCCTCTTAGTGTCTGTGGCATTTCTGCTTTTCTCTGAAAACCAACCAGACTGTTGCCGTCAATATTGCCGTAGTAAACCAACACACCTCTGTCCCTGGTCGCAGTCCTATAGCAAAACCTAGTGCCTTGTATCGTAACTAACGTCCTGCATTCCGTTTGTTACACTAACATGTCTAAAAAACTGGGGGGTGGGGGCTTAAAGAAAGAAAGTAATATATTGACGTTAGTTTTATAAGTTACTTTTTTCGTTTTAGTGTTCGCTGCTAGCTAATCCCCATGTTAAATATGACCAAAATCATTTTGAAGTCATACCAGGTGCACAGCATTCTGATGTCAATAAACTAGCTTTATTTTCTACTAACACACAAAGCAGCTTTAACATAACTAGGCCATAAAGATTTTGCTTCTGAACATTTGTTTGCTACTGCTTGTACTGTCTTTTTCTTGGTTTATTACACCCATATGTGACACCATAAGATGGAATTTTGGATGTAATTTGTCAGTTTGAAAAGCCTGAGTGATTAATCAAATCTATAAATCTCCTATAATGCATGCATTCCTAAATTGTAGAAAAGGATTATTGCCAATTTCATTTGACAAATAATGGACGATAAGCCTTTGTTATCGTGATATTTTCAAATGAAAAATTTTGTTTTGGTTTTGACACATTTAAGAAAAAAATTGACTGAAATTATTGCAGAGCTTCTTTGATTACAGTATTATATAATATATAGGGCAAATGGCAGCGGCAAGAAGTGCTATTTGGAAATTTGCTAACCAAATTTCATAAACTGCCATGTACATAGCAGTTAAGCAGATTGTGTAGACTCACAAACTAGCTAAAAGCTGAAATAGTTTAAACCTTGAAAACATCTTAAATTGAGGGGGTGCTGACATCTATAGGAACATAAATCAAAATATTTGCTTACATGGTAAAGTCAGTTTTGACTTGCCTTCGCATGTTGAAGTGTCCGAATGATATTACAATCAAGTTTTCGATCTCAAAAATACCAGAAATTATGTTTACTCATCACACATGGCTTTGTGGCAGTTCATCTTTATAACTATCAGCATTTTGACTGTATAATTCAATTTTACCAATGAAAACTAGGGTGTTTCTGTCCTTGTGTACTGCACTTATAAAAAAAGCTAATTGTTCAGTCAATATCTAAGAACTGCCAGTTCATAAGTATATTGGGAACATTAGGCATCTATGTATTAAAAATGTTCATATAAAGTTGTATACATTTGTCCATAGCTTACTATAGACTGATGAATATTTTGCCATCGCTTGCTTTGTGTCCAACTGTGCTGGTTGAGGTGTTGTAAAATGGATGTCACTCTCAATTTTCAGATAATTGCTATAAAACATTAGGCAACATTCCCAAAATGGTTTGTGTGTTGTATATCATTAAGCTCATAAAAGAACTGAATTTTGCAGCTTAAATATCAATAGTGACTTTAATCATGTCAGGAAAGCAGGCTTTTCATGCACACACAAAACTCACTTTCACATAATTGCATAAAGATGAGCATTTCAAACAGAATCTGCCACAGATAATGTTCAAGGATGTGTTCAGTGGTCATTTTAGCTTTTTAGTCCTCTATATAACTTCACACTGCATTACCAGCAGACATATAATTACTTTGAAAATAAGATACCATTCAGGATATACTCAAGTAGGAAAGTATGAACGGTGTACCTTTCTGAGATGGATTTGATTGAGTGTTTTAATGAGACAGGAAGTCATTTGTAATATCATGTCTTGGACAGTATACAAAGTATCATTTTTTCCTTCATGCATAGATCCATCAATACTTTTGCAATCTTTGATAAAACTTTCAGTTTTGTTAATGAATGAAGGATTTGTGTGGCATACTTCTTGAATTGTTCACTAATCAACAAAATACATATTTTAAGGTTGGTGTTTCAGGGTCCTGTTCCCCTTTGTGATTTTACAGTAATAATGAGTAGTGTCTGTCAAAATGATGCAGCAAGTATGCAAGGAAACTCACTTTAAAATTGATATTACAGAAAACCAGTTTTTAGCTTGCTGTAAAAATGTTAATAGATGACTGCGCTTCCATGGCTGATTTTTTTCTGCTGGATCGTAACTACGTTTGAATAAGTCATAGACCAAAGTGCTTGATAAATGCTGGGCCTTAGTAAACATTTGACCTTCATATAGGTGAATGTTTTACTGACTTAGATAGCCAGCCATGGAGCGTCTGTCATTGTTGTGGATATAACACTGGATATCAGATATCGGAAGGCTTCCTCCGATAGTAGCTGGTAGATTTATGAACTGTTACAAAGTGAGTTGATTCTTAACATGACAATTTATTTGCATATCGGATATCTGCTGTCAGCTTTGTGGTTGTTTCTTTTGCCATGTTCAGTGAAAGATCTCAGCTAGATTAACAAAAACATGTTTGTAATGTTGTGGGGTTAAAATAAAGTCCCAATAATAGTTAATAAAGTGTAGTTGTCTTTTTAAAAATTGATTCCTGTTTCTTGTAACCAAGACTTATCTGTCAGCGAAATTTACAAGTGTAATGTTCATTTACTTAATTCAGTCTTTGCTGCAATGCAGGTAGAAAATGTTCTGAAAGATTACAATTTCCATGCATTTTTTTTAAACAGAATGGTTATTCTTGGAAATTGTACTGTTATAAAAAATCATGTCAGTAGAAACACTAATCACCAAGTTGCATGCTTTTGCCATCTTTTGTTTTTTTTTCAAAGTGTATTTTAGCATGAACATGCTTAGACATATGACTACTATTATGAAAAATAAAATTACTTTGATGTGTTTTATAAATCAGTTGTTGTATTTATTATAATATAAACTTCCCACCAGAGTTTTTGTGTTATGTATGTATAAAATCACTGTAAAAAAAAGATACATTATTTTGCTAGTGATTTATCTAAAAATATTAAATTAAAAAAAAATTCTTTACATTATTTTACCTAGTAAACTAAAACTGAGAAGAGTATCTAATCCATTTTTTTATAACCACATAGTAAAGTTTAGTCTAGTACTGACATCCATGCCAGGAAGCACTCAAGGTACTCCGCATGGGACATGCTTGCTGGGATGTCTATCACAGTGCACACACTCACTTATACAATCACACACTAAAAGAGCAAGGTCAGAGACGATGCCAGTTCACGTTTATAGACTGTGGGGAACATTGGAGTACCCAGATGAAACCCACGGAGGCCCCCAGGCACACAAAGTCCTAGAAGGAATCAAACACATGTCTGTTCATCCATCCATTCATCCATCCATCCGTTTTCTGAAACCACTTGTCCTATCCAGGGTGGCAGGGAGTCCAGGGCCCCCGTTAGGAACAACTCAGTATGGGGCACGCACCCATCACAGGGCACACTCACACACCATTTACTCACACAAAGTTTGTGGACCACACGATGGTGGTGGATCTCACCTCTAGCAGCAATGAGATCATGCATAGAGAGGAGATCAAAGCGCTGACACACTGGTGCCAGGGGAACTGCCACGTCCTCAATGTCGCCAAGACCAAGGAGCTGGGAGGAGTACACACCCCCATCTCCAGCAATGGGAACACCATGGGGAGGGTCAGCAGCATTAAGTTCCTCGATGTGCACATCACAGAGGACCTCACATGGACAGTGCACACCACTGCGGCAGTGAAGAAGGCGCTACAGCACCTATACTACTGCAGGAGGTTTGGCCTGAGCCCCTGCATCCTCAGGACATTCTACAGATGCAGTATTGAGAGCCTTCTAACTGGATGCATCACTGCCTGGTACGGGAGCCGCACTGCCCTCAACTGCAAAGCACGGAGTGGAGCTACCAGCTCTGTGGGCCGCCTACACCAAGCAGTGCCAGAGGAAAGCTACAAAAATCAATAATTACACAGTACATAATAATACAGTTATAATAAAGGTAACTACATACGGTACTGCACTGTACCTCGAGCCGATGAAGCACTGAATCCACACAATGTTTTCATGTGCATCACAAAGTAGTGCATGGTTATTATGAACCATTGCATTTAACTAGAATTTTGAATATAATAGGCTTTATGGCAGTTGTGAGTACGAGTCGTCCATAGGTCAGATGTCCTTAACCTGGGGAATCTATCACCATTCTTGTGATGGACCGCCATCCAATCAAAGGTGTAAAACAAACAAAAAAAAAATACGAAACTCCTTGACAACAAAGATCATAATCATAATATATGGCTGCAATCAAGACGTCAGATGGTGATTGGAACAGACCTGTCAAACTAGTTTTTACGTCTGATGCAGGAGTGATTCTACTTAAATTAGTAAGCAGTACTCAGAGTTTAAACTGAGTTTATGGATAGCTTTGGTTTGAGTTTTATCCAGCATGGGAGTCAACAAATAAATGAAGTAAATGTTCCGCGCTCTTAAAGATATGAGGAACAGGCAGACCCTGTACGGAGGAAGGTGTATCATCTGGGATTTTGGGAGGCAAATGCATCGAGTCTCAAATAAAGCAGCGAACATACCGGCTAGGTTCAGTTTGGCATTGGGTGACTTTCCCAGCTGCTCCCGTGATCTAATCCAATAGAGTCATGTCAGCTTTTGTTTCTATCTATGTGTCTATGTGTTTTGGAATCATTGCTTTTGCTGTGGTTCCCTCACATTGTATTTTATGGCGTTAAACTGTTGAAAACTATTTCAGATTCTTGAGCCATGTGTAAGAATTCACTGCAAAAGAATAGAGCAAATAAGTATAAAGAGCGCGATAATCCCACAGGTTGCACAGTGGGTCACACACTCCAGGTTCTGTGATTTAATCCTGTCTCTTATACGTGTGTGTAGAGTTTACATGCTTTCCCCAAGTTGCATTGATTTCTTGTGGGTTATTCTGTTTTACTTCTGCAGCCCAAAGATATTCTGCAAAAACTGACATCTCTAAATTTTTTTTAAAAATAGCCATTGTATGTGTATGCACCATGTGACGGACTAGCACCCTGTTCTGATTGTACCTTATTCTCTGACCTGTGCTACCTGGGATAGGTTCCAGGCGCCTAAAGACCCTATTCAGAAAGAGGAAACAATAATAATCTCATTGAGAGACTGAAGAGAGAATGAATGCAGCTTGGTATGACCCATTAATGAATCACACTTGGGTGTGTTTTTCTTTGGGTATGTAGTTTTGGCCGCCCCTGAAAACCTGTTTTCTTTAATTAAATAAAAACGCCTTTTATTATTTAAGATGGGACTTTGGGTACTTTGTCTTGTTCTACCAGCTTGGAAGTGAGAGGGAGGAAGATGTTGGGGCAACTTCATATGTTCCCTAGACAGGTTCTAACAAGCTTCTCCTTTAGAATCTATCTCTTTGGGCCAATTAATAACAAGTAAAACATAATTAAAGTGGCATTTCATTTTCTCTTAATAAGCTGTTAAGAAGATGGTCGAGTACTGCTTCCCTCAATAGCCAAAACTGCTTGACACTCACTTTCTTGACAAATCTGAAAGCAGGGCAAATCCTTTTGATATCCTGAAGATCGGGACAAATCATAATACGGACCAATGTTTTCCAACCCAGTCCTCCGGGGATCCCAGGCAGTCCATGTTTTTGTTATCTCCCAGCACTCCCAATACACCCATGCCAGGTGTTTGGAGTTCTTGACTGGCTAGATGCTGGGAGGGAGCAAAATTGCAGACTGTCTGATTTTCCACTGACATTGTAATATATTATGCAAACCATTTACCAGAATCTGACAATTTGTCTTTATACAACACTTGTATGTATTAACCAGTGATTGTGTTATTGACAGATAAGTTCTTTCATCTCTGATCATGTGAAAAAGACACTTGTGAGATCACTGAACATTAATGGGTGTGATTCAAAAAAGCACCACTTAGGTGAAAAGAAATACAGCGACTGTAGAGCTCAAGCAATATTAAATCATGTTGAGTATGTATGGCAAGACTATGAGAATATGAACCCTTTACTGCAGATGAAATGGCATTTGCTGATTCACTTATTCAGGTCTTTGGAAGATTAAATTCTAAGGCTCACTTTGCATAAGTCCTGCGGCTGTTGCTACTTTGGGTCCAGGATCCCAACTTTCATGGGACACAGAGCCAAGTCTTGTTCTACTTTACATTGTGTTTATTTATCAGATGCCTTTACCCAAAGCAACACACAAATGAAAGCACAAGGTCAGATAGTGACTGCAGAGAGATTTAGCAAGGGCTCAACGGTTACAATCTAACAGCCATGGGACTACCGTCTGATCACAAGCACAGCCCCAGATCCACCAAGCCACAAAATGCCCCGAAGCTTAGCAAGATGTTGAACTGACATTTTTACTTATTCAAGATTAAGATGCATTTTATAGATCCCAGGGAGAAATTCTAGCACACACAGCAGCGAGAACCTAGTGCACAGACAAACATACATGTAGTGCCTAACAGACAAGGCGCTAAGAGATAAAAACAAATTTAAATAGTACACAGTCACAAATGAAATGCCATCAAAAAAAATAAAATTGTGATACTATGTGAATGAATAAATATTTAAAAAGAGGAATAGTAAATTACTGATGTTATATGTGCAGATAATGAAAAGATAGCATTGGACTTTCACTGTACAAGATGAGATGATTCCTGACATGTTAGTGTTGGGGGGGGGGGGGGCACCACATCAGGATGAGGCATTGTGGTGTTTGATGGCAGCAGACGGAATCGGTCCCAAGTAGTGCCACGCTTCAGAAGGGAGCGACTCGGGGACAGGCGGACAGCAAACAAAAGGGGGCTTTATTGGGGTGCAAAACAGGAACAGAGAAGCTGAACGACACCACAAGGGGTTAAACCAGGAAGACTAGCAAACGGTATGGCGCAGACAACAGGAGGAATGACATCAATGACAAGACTGGGGAACACAGGACTGGGAAGCACTTATATCCAAGACAGACGAGGGACCAAATGAGAGGCACCTGGACTGAGTAACAGGTGGGCAGGAACAAGAGGTAAGACAAAGGAAAAACAGGTGTGGCAGGCAGGGTGTGACAATTAGCATTTTTTAGCACACTATGGTTGAGCGAGCCTGTGGTTACATGCATATATGATGTATTTTACAGATAATAATAATAATACTAATAATAAAAATTATTTGACCAGCTGTTCATTGTATGGTAAAATCTTACATTAATACATAAAATAAACAAGAAGAGTTAAACATCGTAGCATCATAAAATGAAACTGTGGCTTCGTTACTATTTTTAAATTAATTACAACAAACTTAAAATCTATACTACCCACTTGATGGGTAGGTCCTAATGCCTTTATGAAGAAAGGCCCATACATAGAAGCATCACAGCACCTACAAATGCAAATCACTCAGGTTGTGCCTGTATTAACTTAAGTCGACAACACAGTTCTCATAAAATTCAGGGTTGCCAACTTTGGTCAGCTGGTTGGCATGACTTTTCAATTTGAGACAAGTCTGCACGCTCATTTACATATATGTAACAGTTCTATTATCTTGTATATAGTGTTTAGGGTTTGCAAACTACCCCAACGCTCTTGATGTATAGGTAATTTTAGGTTTATAATGGAATAATATAGATTTGCCATAAGATTTCTTGTGTGAATGTGAGTCTGTCATGCCAGATGTGTGAGAGCTGACAACCCTGCAAAATGTATTGCTGTCACAGCTAGACTTCCCAACTTAGATACAGAAGATCAGATTATCTCAGATAAACAAGAAACTGTTTGAGTTTTGTGAAATGAAAAAATGTATAACAATTAGAACCAGGTGCAGTTAACCAGGTTTCAGAAAGATACTAAACTTAAGTTAGTCCAAAGGTGACGGAATTACGCCTAACTGGGATGAAAAATATTTCAAAATGGATGTAGAATAGGTGACTGTGTGCCTATATATCTGTACAAGAGTGCAGGCCATAAATCATGAATTCAGAGAGTTTGAAATTCGAGAAGACAATTCGTATTATTCATGCTGGTTGTTTATAATTCTCACTTCAATAATCTTTAATAAACCTCTCAGTAGTCGCACAAGATCACATTTTCCTCTAGTTCGACATTACAGTTCATACTGTAAGTAGATAGGATGTCTATCGATACGTATTAGTTTTCGGTAGCAATCACCATGCCGTGGTGAACATCTCGAACTACCGAGAAGACGACAGTACACTCAGGAGTGTAGTTTGTAATAAATGTCTTTAGGTTCGTAACTTAGATTTTATAACTTTTTAATGTAAAGGGGACGTTTTTTAAAATCTGTTTTCATGATTTATATTTTCATTTTTTAATTCAGATTTCTTTTTATTGTAATGGATTTCAAGCTACTTCCATTTTATTGCCGCCGACACAAAACGTGATGATGATGACGATGATGCTGTTTCCATAGAAACAGGGGAACAGAGGGGACAGGAGGACCGGGAAGACAGAAACGGTAACCCGCAAACGAAGCAGCAGACTTGTGCAAGGTTAATGTTAAGTACAATTTATTTTGGAGGGAAGCAGGGAAGGACCGAAAGAACGAGGACAGAAGGCATAAGAAATAAATAAATGAAAATGTCTGAAAGGATTGTCTCCTGCAGAAATGCTTATGACACCTCTTCTCTTCTTCTACAGTACTGCAATGGTAGGTATTTCCCGATACAATTTCAGTCCCTCGAGCAGTCAAATGAAACGCGATCATGTTTAGATTCTTCATGTAAATAGTGTAATGCATGTCCGTTAAGTATGTAGCGTCAGTGACTGAGGCAAATTTGGTTCATTTGCTAGGTAGTCGTACTACGGCATTTGCAATTATGAAAATATCTTTCTTAATTCCGTGATGAAAGTATATGAAGATGTTTTGAGATAATAATATAATAATATATTTGTAACCCTGCGTTATGAATATGCTTGTAGGCGTACAGTATTCAACAGAGCCATTTCACCTGTCTTGTATATGTTTAGTAAATGGCCATTTTCTGTTTGCCTGTTCTGGATGCCAAGGTTGAAGGAAATAAACATGAGTCTATGATTAAACTTTAAAATAATCGGTGGTAGTTAAGTACTGTAATTCTGTTATACTGAGTAATTGCTGTGTGCTCTGAAGTGAGAGTATAGGTGCCATTGGAAGGAGTGATGTCATTGGAATGGAAACAAACGGGCTCGGATTGCCCCTCAGTTATTTGTATTAATAACTTATTTACATGAAATTTCCCTTTGAATTAGTAAATTTATGGGAATTTGAAAGACCTTGTATTACAAAACATACATATATCATTAAGATAATAATGAAATTTCAGAAGTTGTAAAAAAATACTATTCTTAGATTTTTTACCGTATTCTATAATGAACATTTTAATTGGATTTTTAAATAATGTTTATGTGATAATGGTTTTAGAGGTTCTTTTTTATTAATAGAAAAGTAATTCTTCTCCAGCCAGCGTTTAATAGATGTCCTTTTGTAAGAAACTGCAGTCTTTATTGGTTCTGATGAAGAACAATTTTAACTTTTTCAGGCGGTGGATTTAGTTCTAGGCAAACGTTTTCTCCATAGATTCTGAACTCTTGCAGAGTACGGCAGGTTGTCCATGATGATTTCTTTGTGTGTCGCTGCTTTAATTTTGCCTTTTATGTTTACAAGTCACCCAATATTTTTTTTTAGCGTGATGCTGCTCTGGGTAGGAATGGTGTTTCAAAGGATGGTGTTCAGTGGTATTCATGCTCAAAAAATGAAAAAGGTTAAAAAGGTAAATAGTGATTTTATAAAAACACATATACAGCTGTCGAAAACAACAAGAGACCACTACATATTTTGAACAAATCTGCCTTTTTAAATCCTGGTTTTATCGTGGTTCTGCTGGCAGAAGGCTAAGCTGAGCAACAGGATGCTTCCAGGTTCAACTTTTCTAAGACAGCAGAACACAAGAACAAGGTGAAGCAGGAGACACTGGGAAGGACCAGAAACCAGCCAGGTAGAGGGCGGAAGCAACTTTCTAATGCCAGAGATGACTGTTAACTTATCCGACAGTTTCTCATGAAGTGAAGGATGACACCTTCAAAGGGAATGGGAAACATTAAGTGCACTGCTAGGACAGTTTGTATCAGGTTCCTAGAAGCAGGACTGAAGTCCCATAAAGCAAGGAAGAAGCCCTTCATTAATGAGAAATGGAGAAGAACCAGGCTATATATTATTCACAGACGCACACTCATAAATTGAGAAATGAATGAAACAAAATATTGTGCTTCGGTCTCTTAATTTTTTCCAGCTAGGCTCGTAACTCCTGTCTCGCCTGGGATTGACTGATCCTGCGCTCTGATTTGTACATTGCCTTGGATACAAGTATCTGCAAGAAGAGCATAAAATCTTAGGCATGTTAGTTTACACCTTGTACAATTTCAGTAGGTCTGATACTGAACTTCATAACTTATCTTTCTGGTCAGATTAATCAGTTTCTGAGAATACCTTTTTGTAGTTATATCTTAAGTGTGTCAAAACAAAGGGGGCATTTCTTCAATTAATTATTTTTTTTAATCTCATTTATAAATAAAATTGGTAGAACAGTGTTTCCCAATCCAATCCTCAGGGACCCCTGGGCAGCCCATGTGTTTACTTAAGGAGCAAAAATGTGGACTGTACTGCAGGGAACTCGGGGGGAGCAAAAACGTGGACCGGCTATGGGTCACTGAGGACCAGATTGGTAAACACTTCGGTAAAAGATGGATGGTACTTTTTTGTTTTGGCCAACAGTAAAACGCTCAGTTGCACACACCATTATGCCGTCATGTAGCAAAATGAAATGTGAAAAGGTCAAAGAGGAATAAATGCTTTGATACAACCAGCATAGCAACAATATAGAAATTACTCCGGACAATAGTTTCGAATCTACAGCTTTCTAAATAAAATTATGAACCCTGAACCTCAAGATCTTATTACCACTGCAGTTTAATTTCTAGTATTGGATATGAGACGGCAAGTTGCATAGAGCTTAAAAAATTGAAGGTCTCCGGAGGGCCTCTGCTGTAGTGTCATTGAACAAGGTAACATAATTCCTTTGGTGAAATATCCATCTGTTTAGAATTCCGATTATAGCACCAGCTAACTCCACTGCAGTGTAGATATTTTTATCTTCATCGCAAGAATCGGTTAAAGATTCCAGACTTGAGACTACATGACTAGTTGGTATGTGTGGCTTCTTTATTATCAATGGGTTGTATTTTCCCACTCTTGCTGCATCCTGGGTCTGAGCCAGCAGGCAGCAGGATGCTGCATCATACGGCCAGTAGGGTGGGTGCTGGATTGCAGAGAGCCACACAGAGCATGTTACCGAGGAGGGAAAGCTGTTAGAAAAGAGTCGATGTGGCATCAGCGAGCATCCATGAAGCATATTGCGTGATGGTCGAGTGACAAGTGGAATGGCAGGTAGGGAAGGTAATAGATCAGAGTGCTAATGAAAAATTTATTAGCTTCTCTTAAGTTTCAAGGCTACCTGCTGCCTTCACCCTTTCGCGGCACAGAAAGAGGGCATGTGTGCATTTCAGTGTTTGCTACATTTGAATAATACCTACCTCTTAATGTATAGTGCTTGTTATCTCCAACATGTTTTTGCTTCTTCCCTAATGCTGCTAGTTGTCTATTGTTAATGTAACTGCGTTTGAGCATATATATATATTCTGTTGTTTTTATAGTCAGGGTTGCTTATATTTTGGTTGCATGCAACAATTGTCCAGTCTTATGCAACCGTAATGTAAATCCAGCTGCAATTTGCAGAAGTGAGCAATTTGTGTTACTGTTAATGATAAAAATATGTTTATATTAATATTCTCTGAATGTCAGTTTGCTCGTCTGCTTCAAGCCTCTTATATACAGTACTGTTCAGTTGAACACAAGGACCTACAAGATTTCTTAAGCATGTTAACGCCGTATCACTAGTACCTCAATATTATTTTATAGAAAGGGAAATTTGTACGGAGAAAGGGAAGGGAAAGTCTTGTACAGAGTTTTGCAAACATCCCTCACGTCACTTTGTGGCCTAGATGACAACCTGTCAGCGAGCAGCGTTGTAGACATGGAGGACCGCCTGTGCTACTTGGAGCAACGTGTCCAGTTGCAGGAAGATGAAATCCAACTGCTGAAGACAGCGCTGGCAGATGCGCTGCGTCGACTGTGCTGCTGCGAGGAGCAGGTTACCAAGAAGAAGGCAACATCCACCAAGGGTGAGCAACGGCTGTGGTGCCCAAGGGTGGCAGTGTTCATAAACAGGCAGTCCCCGGGTAACCAGCGAGATCCGCACCCTGAGCCTGTTATTAAGTCGGATTTGTAGGTAGGTCGGAAAAAAAAAACAACACATACATAATAATAATAATAATAATAATAATAATAATACAGGAGTAATACAAGTAAGTACATACAGTACTATACTGTACCTCCAACCGACGAACCACTGAAGCCATGTAATGTTTTTATGAGCGTCACAATGTAGCAATTATGTTTGTTATTACGAGCCATTTTATTTAACCAGAATTTTTAATATAATAGTCTTTATGGCAGTCTGTTCCTAAGTACGAGTTGTCTGGATGTCGGACGTTCTTTATCCGGGGACTGCCTGTAATCTCAGGCCATTGAGATTTTTTAAATCATGCTTTGCGTGTTTGTGTACAGTAATTGTATAATTTTTCTGGAAATGTTATTGCTAATTTGGAAGACAAATATTGGCAGAGCAGTTTACATAAGTTTAAATGCTGGTCGATGTATCTCCTCTTGACTAATACTTGCCAGCCAGACCCTACTATGTGGTCTTATATGACCTCTAAATGGCCTCTTTCTGGAGGATTAGAGCCATTTGTTGATTAAAGCTGGTACTTTAGGTAATAATTTATGTCTAGTGGTTACAGAATATGTCTGGTTGATTCCTGTCTCAGGACCTGATTTATCAGCGATCTTCTTAATTCTTGAAAATCCACAGTTGGTTTAAATTGTTGGTCTTTTTTGTAGGCTGGATAGATTGACACTGATGCCTTCCTCTAGGAGGGCGATTCAAAGAGTAATTTGAGATGATGGGCATTTAGTGAGTAGCCAGTAGCTCCACCAAGAAGGCTTTACGTAGAACTTGAAAGGCTGACAATGCTGCTGACATTAACATTTACACAGCCGTCACCTAAATTCTGGACTGATGTGTACCCTCTGTTATGTCAGTCCGTCAACTTTTACAAGCCTTACCTCCCAAGCCATTCAGCAATGGATATGTACAGCAGAAAAGGTTGGGGGGCTACCCTTCCTCACCATCATCACCAAAAAAGGAGGTTTCCCTGTCTATCAAAAGGTAAGCTTAGCTTATGTACAGTCTCCATTTACAGAAATGAGTGTACCAAACCTTGCCTGAAGGTGGCACTGTTGTATCATATAATGCATTCTGATGCTACTCTAAAGCTAAGTCTAGGACAGTGTTCCTCAACTTGTTCCTCACAGACCCACATTTTTTGCTCCCTCCAAGCTCCCTGCCAGGCAGTCCATGTTTTTGCTCCCTCCAAGCTCCCTGCCAGACAGTCCATGTTTTTGTTCCCTCCAAGCTCCCTGCCAGGCAGTCCATGTTTTTGCTCCCTCCAAGCTCCCTGCCAGACAGTCCATGTTTTTGTTCCCTCCCAGCTCATGTTAGTGAGTACAAAAAAACTTAGACTGTCAGGACCGGGTTGAGAAACACTAGTCTAGGACATATCCACCCATCTTCCATTGCCTTTTATTCAGTACAGGGTGATAGTGGCCCTTACATACCTAAGTCTGTTAAGGTACCTTAAGGAGTACAGTGCACAAGGTACTGGGCACGTTCTTTCAGCCGGGAGGGACCCACGCAGACACAAGCGGAACATGCAAATTTCACACACACAGTTTCAGGAGCTGGAACCAAATTTTTAGCCTTGGGGGTGTAATCCTTCAGAAATACCCCCTGTGCCCCCAAGCCGGCCTTATCTGGGAAATATGCTGGGCTCTGGAAACAAACATATTACTTTTGTTCATATATATATTCTTTTTAAGGACAATTAATAAAAAAAAACCTTAGGAGCCAAGATTGAACAATAGGATTCCTCCCCGACATTACTGGGGTATGTATCAGTTTAGTCTTAAGACTTTTGACATACGAGCAATTAGCATCAAGCAACTACAGTAGCTAAATTTTCCAGATGTCTACAATATATGCATTTCTGCTTGGGGTAAAATCTTGTTAAAATGCATTTTATTTGGATTTCATTATAATGGCTTCCAGATAATTTAAGTGTTTGGTTAAATAATTAACATTAAAAACAAAAGGATATAAAAAGATAAGGGCGTATCGATTATAGTGATCCGTCAGAGTTGAGAACAGAATTGATAATGAGGAAAATGACCCTGGTTTTTCTCTCAGCTCAGTGCCACAGAACAAGCAGCTCATTGTAACTACCTCTTATTTACAGACCACAGTGTGCAGCTGTCTGACTGATGAGTCAGTAATTGAAAAGTCCATCTGAACTCTGTAACCTTATGCCATAACAGAAAAAAGCCTTTGTGTGTGTGCGTGTGTGTGTGTGTGTGTGTGCGCGTGCATGTGTGTTTGGGGGGGGTTGCATACAGTAGATCACATTTAGGGACCAAAATGTAAATGTAAATGTAAATGGTAAAACCTGAAAGACATTTTTCAGGTCCCCATTTGGAAAAGCTCAGTTTTAAAATAATCTGTGAATGCAAAGTAAAAATACGAGAAGTCTGGCATTTTGTTTGATTGCTTTTGGTTAAGGTTAGCGCTGGGTAGGGTTAGGGGTTAGGGGTTAGGGGTGTCCCCATTTAGATAGCTATGCCAGTGCAATGTGTGTGTGTGCGTGTGTATGTTTGCGTGTGTGGATTAGGTTTATATTACATTGTGGGGACCAAATGGCCCCCACAATGTAATAAAACCTGTTATTTTTTACGTTGTGGGGACCATTTTTCAGGTCCCGACAAAGATCTGTAGATGCAATCAAAAACGTAAAAATGCCAAAAGTCTCGTGTTTTGTTTGGTTACTTATGGTTAAGTTCGCCATGTTGGGATTAGAGTTTTCCCCATGGAAATGAATGGAGAGTCCACACAAAGATATAATGACAAACCTATGTGTGTGTGTGTGTGTGTGTGTGTGTGTACACATTTCCACAGTAGAGGGTGGAAAAGTCAACACATTTTTAAGTATGTCCTACCTTTCATTACTTTCTTGGGGAACAATGAGCTAACAAAGGCATTATTGATTTTGATGTTGGCTACCAGTTTGTTAACTGTCTTCCTCTTTATTCAAAGCAGATAATACTGCTTCTGTAGTATGAATGTAATCTTTTATCTTTCTTCCTGTCGTCCTACTTGCTTTAATCTCTCTTTAATGATTTCTTACTTCCATATAGAAAAAGTATTTCCACGGAACGACTTTCCAGCAGTAGAAGAGATTTATCCTCTGACTCCCGGAGCAGGACAACTTCCTCCAGCAGTTCTTTCGGTAAAAGAGAGAGGTAACTGCACTAACCACGCATGGCAGTCCTCCTCAATATCTGCCCAATGATTTTCACTGAAGTTCGCACTGATAAATGGACTAGATACGACGGTCAGACAGACGGTAGCTTGTTCCCTTCCTCCATCTTTCCGGAGAAATGGATTTAATAGGGAAAACAGTGTGGGTTTAGTCATGTCAGTCCAGCATTAGACTGGCAAATTAATGTAAGAGCATGGAGTGTATTGTTTAGTTTAAAATAGACCGATTCTACAGTTGAAATAAAAGTCCACCAGATCTGTTTTAGTGATATTTTAGAATTTGCTATACTGTTAATTGACATCCCAAATCCTGTAAGTAGTAAGGTACAGTATCGAACACACCAAAACAGTAGTGTAAGTATTATTTAATAAACCTAAGTAGACCTTTACTCTTTTTTTTGCTGTTTTTTGCTGTTCATGAGCTTTATGTGTTGGCAGCACACCAATGAGAGTAACATGCAGGATATTGATTTAACTGCGTTGTATAGATTTTCTGACAGCTGTAGGCTAGAGGCTTTAGAGCAGAGCCTTTTATAACAGCTGCATTACTGTGCTCAATTACCTCCAGGCCCCACATGTGTAAAACATGCATTACTACTACTTCCCGTGCTGCGTATGTTAGTTTCACAAAGTAATTTCCTTATATTTGCATTTTGTATTTAATTTAAGTGATGGCGCATAAAAAGTATCAAAACCTGGTTCTTATAATGTAATTAAGTTCTTCAAAGGAAGTAAAGGCGCTGTGCAGCCACCACCTCTTCCTGTATAGCTGCAAATTAAATATTTGGACTGTTAGGCATTGGGGTGTGGTCAGAGTTAAGTAGGGCTGTGTTGCAGAATCAGGAAGTGCTTTGCCATTGGCTGAAATGTCCATGTAACTAGCAGAGCTGAGGCACTAGCATTAGCTCTACAGGGAAGTTCTCTGCATGCGTCGTTTTCAGCTCTGTTTTGTTACATTGTGGTACTCACTATGAAGAGGTCATCCAGGTAAACTTCTAATTACTGCTTTGTGTTGTTTTTTTCAATTAAGGAGCTATTAGTTACTCAAACTTGAGTACTTTCTAATTCTAGTTTCAAATGAGCAGCTGGGGGGAAAGAAGTTTTGCATTTGCAGGCGTCTTTTTAAATCAGTTGTGAAGTAGCTGAAAAAGGAGAACTCCTTTTTAATTTTGGTAACATAATACATGTCTCTTAGGGGGACACGATTTGTATAGCTTCTTTGGTTTTAAGCCAGGAATTCATTAAGGTTTTTCCACCGAGAGCAGAATTTGTTGTGTTGCTGGCTGTTTGGTGATTCAGTCCATTTCTTGTTTTCAGACTTGATTTATGATTAAAAACAGATGCATGCTGTTTAACACCAATAGGGCTTTTTATTGGTCCAGTGCAAGTTCCTTTGGGACCATGTCTGTTGCTTTATGGAATATCTTTTTATTTTATTATATTTTTGAAGGCAATAAAATAAATTGAGGAATGTTTGATGCTTTTGTATTGAAATGCAACTTCTCTAACATTGCAAAAGGGATAAAGAAACATTAAAATTTACATCAGTTCCGTTATCCCATGAAATTTGTCCAGCACCATTGGATGCATGCAAATATATGAGGAAATAATCAGCCCATCTCAGTGCTGACTCCTTTCTCTGAATGTTCCTGCAATGATAAAACTGTTTGATTTGTTTCCTTAATCATTTGACTTTAAAATCACATTTTATATGATATCCCCTTCAATTACACTTATTTTTGTTCATTGTGATACTGGGTGTAGGTTCAATATGTAAAGTTACATTAACTCTGGCTTCTGTAATCTCTGAGTGCATTTATAGATTAAATTACCATCCATTGTGCATTGTATTTTATTAGTTAGTATTATTTTCACCCTCAGTCTTCAATGTACGCCTCTTAAAATTGCATGGTGAGACAACAGGAATGATAATTATTGTATTTTTTATGATTTTGCTTCGAGGGCTGGGTTGGGTGTTTTATTGTCAGGAGCATGACTCGGACACAAAATGACTATCAGCAGATGAGATGCACATTCAGTGTGTGTGTGAATGGCCATTGTTTTTGTTTACATTTGAAGACTTAAAGCTATTTTCAATGAGCAATTTTATTTTCCCTTCCTTTTCCTTTCCTCCTCCTCCCAGTTTCACTTTTCACCACGGCAATCTTTAATTAATGGCCCCGCAATACTGTGAGTTCCAACTCCATCCTTACCAGATGTTTGTTGGCCCTTCCCTAAAACAAGCCAACAGTTAGCTGTGTTTCTGTGTCAGAAATATCTGTGTCCATTACATACTTACCATAAGTGAAGAAGACAGAAACACAGCTAGCGTTAAGTCATATTTTTTTATAAATCTTATCTACATGTGATTGTGCAGTCATGGTGGTGCTGATATGAATGATAGCTCTCTTATGGGAGCAAATACTGTAGCATCCTGGTACCAGGAAGTGGGAATAGTTTGTCATTAGCGCGGGGTGGCTATTTGAGGGATGGTTTAGTGGGCTTCCTGTCTCTCGGCTGCCATTTTGGGTGGAGTTAGACGCACTACAGGTTTGTAAGGCGTGGCTGTAGCTGACAACAGCCGTTATGGGCGTTAAAGAAACGCTCCAGCCTGTTTAGCAGTGAAACCATACAATACTGTTTTTCCTGCTGAATAGAAATATGGCAGAATATTTACAAATTCTTTCTCATCCAATTATGTATATGCTAGTAAATAAATTATTACTGCTTTACATGTGTAAATAGGTGAGATTCTTAGGACAGTTAAGTAATTATATTTTTGTAAGTTCCTCTTTATCTGAACTGTGAAAATGGCTAAACAACTTAATATTGAAAGTCAGATTCTATTATTTATCTCTCTCTTTCTCTGTAACTCACTCTCTCCCTCTCTCTCACACTCTATAATAGATATATAATATATAAAAACATATAATTAGTGTTACTAATGAGAGATAAATGATGAATGGTGCCATAGCTAGACATTGCATTGATCATGCTAGAGAAAGCTAAAAGAAGAGATGGTACAAGATGTAATAACAGGGAAATGATTTATTTTTCCTCCTGATAATTTGTTAATGGATTCACACTGACTCCATTGGGTCTCACCACTGGCCTTATTGATTTTTAGTGCTAAGCCCAGAAATGTTTGAAGCCGTGCATGTCTGTTAATGTCTCTTACTTCCACTTGGTTAAAAAATAACTGTATGCTAACTTACTGCATTTAGCAGATATTGCATTTCAGTTGTATATAATTAATTTACCTTGTACTGTTTTTCAGCAAATCCAAAGAATGCACCCTCAATGCCGGTGAGTGTCTCTGTTTCATGCTTTTCAGTTTTGTTAAGCTGTTCTCACTTTTCTATAAGCATCACTGCAAATGCTACAAAACAGATAATGGATCATGTGTGTAGTAGATAAGAGTTTACATGGGAAACGTGTCGTAAGGTCCTTTATCTCTTCTCGTCTTTCAGAGGATGGCTATGTGAAGATGTTCCTCCGTGGGAGGCCCATCACCATGCATATGCCCAGTGGGCTGAGGGAGAACTACACTCTGGACATGAAGCAGGAGCTGCCGGAGCAGAAGCTCAGGCTGGGCTGGGTGTATCCTCATCTTGCTCAATTTACTTTGCGGAGCAGAGCACTTTGACAAATGCTGTTATGATGGTTTATAAGACTGAGTTCAGTTTTAAAACATTGCATCTGCGTAGGACAAGTGGGCATAGAAGATGGGTAGATGGATGGACTTGTATTATACGCGCCACAATTCCATCCATTTCCATTCTCAATTAATCACTCAAAACTCAAACTCATTAATTATCCCAGGTTAAGAGAGAGAAGTTATAATGTAGAAAGCAAAGCATTACTGGTCCTTCATGAACACATTTTCTCCTACTGCAGATGAATTTGAGGAACCTTAATATCAGTTGTATTGATTGTATTGGCCACTGAATAGTAGAAACTGGTTGAACCAGAAAATTTGATAACTATTGACGCAGGGATTTACGAAGAATAGAATATGAAAGTGATACTTTTTTCATTCCCCTGGGGAACCTGCTTTCACCTGTCCCATCTTGCTCCATGAGACACAAGGGGTGCCAAGAAAATGTCCAATTTACTGTAACGCAGCTTTCTGCCAGCCTTTTGCTTACGGTTAATTGCGCTCCTTAACCTTCAGTAACCTAGGTTGGGGTACAGGGGCAGAGACTGCCGCAGCAATCTGTATCTGCTTCCCACGGGCGAGATCGTGTACTTCACTGCCTCCGTGGTGGTGCTCTACAATGTGGAAGAGCAGCAGCAGCGACATTATCTGGGTCACAATGATGACGTCAAGTGGTAAACAAAACCTTCTTACACTTTATCTTACTATTTAATGAGCTGGAAATAATTTCCCCTGTTTCCCTGAATTCGAGATTGTTTTTTCTTTTCCAAAACTTCCTGCTTTTACAGGAGGTAAATAAAGGTGTGGGCTAGGACTGCGCGATATTTGAAAAATTTCAAATATCTCAATGTGATTTTTTTTTTTTTTTTTTGTGATAGATGTGCAATATTGATAAAGCAATAAATAAAATGTATTGCTCTCCCAATTGTCCCAACTTGTGCCAACAAAGCTGTCCTGACAGATCATTGCTTTCACTCAGTATCACCGTTATGGAATCCAAAATATTTCCATACTAGGGAAGGTGAATTGTTTTGTTTACCAGTCCTTGTTTATTTTTCCTCTCGCTTATTTTTTTTTAATTTCTCACAAAGGCCCCATGCTACCTATCAGTGAGTCCAACAGCAAGGACGAGTGATTATGATGCAGAGCTCATGCAACAGCAGGGTCAAACTGCACTTGATTATTATTAATTATTTGTAGTTAATCAGATTATTATTATTATTAATCCAGCAGTAGAAGAATGCTGCTTCTCAAGGGATATTTGGGAAACCGTGTTGCTTTGTTGGTAGTGCAGCCACATTTTGACTGAAGTAACAATCTTCTGTAGTTTGGGAGTCCATCCAGACATGGTTACCCTGGCAACTGGACAAGTAGCTGGGACTTCCAGTGACGGCAAGGTAATTATTCTTTTCCTTAAAAAAGTACTTAGGAGGCTGAGAAGACTGCGTTCAAGAGACTCGAGCAATTCAAAAAGTCTGGAAATTCAAAACTCGACAGTGATGTAATGTTAAGGTACAGAAAACAAGTTTTTATATATTAATGCACATTTGATGTCATGCTGAGTGTGGCCCTGTGGTTACAGCAAACGTCAAGGATTTTCAGTTTGATTCTGACCATGGGTCTGTGTCTGAGTAGCTTATATTCTGTGTGGTGCAATTAGTACCCAGTATTTCCAATTTTAGTTGACACAAGTTTTCAGCAGAGTGTTTAATACACAGCGCCGCTGTTATATGTCGGACATTAAATTGCCAAAGTACTTCCACGCCATCATAGTCTTTTTACCTTGTTTATCTACAATATCTCCTTTTTAAGAACATGTTGTAGCTACTGAGCTGTCACTTTCGCCTACACCCGAAGTTTCCTCTGAGTGAGTGCTAATCTCACCCATGACTCGTGTAAATTAGCAACACAGCATATGGAATGCTCCACTAACATCAACCTCGCTGTGTGCTTGTTGGACATTGGTTGTCCGTTCAAAGACTCCCATGCGATTGGTTAGAATTGCGCTCATTTCTGTGACCTGATTGGCTGATGCGTGCTATCAAGCAACATTATTTATCGGAAGTTTGTCATTTTCTTATTTATATTTTATATGACTTCAGTCGGTATATCGTTTATATTGCCCAGCCCTATTATTTTTGCAACAAAAGCTCGTATTTTATAAGAATGAAATTCGCAAGTTATGACGTTTATGTTTAGCAGTTGCATTTATCCAAAGTAACATACAACTGAGAAAACAGGGTCGGCCAGTCTCTGTAGCAATTAGGGTTAAGACTTACAATGATGACATCACTCTGCCAGCCCTTGTATTTGAACTTGGTACTGTCTGTTTTTGCCTAGCAACTGCATCCACATATCAGGGTGTGGGACTCGGTCAGCCTGAATACCTTGCATATCATTGGTGCTGGAGTGTTTGATCGAGCCGTCACTTGTGTGGCCTTCTGCAAGTCGGTAAGCCCAGAATTTTAAGACGAATGAAATCATGAGAGATAAATCACACATTTCATAATGTATCGGGTTTCTGACAGCAGTAAATTCCATTGCTGGTTGCATACTCTTCCTCCTGTAACTTAGAATGGTGGAGCCCATCTGTGTGCGGTGGACGATGCCAACGACCACATCCTGTCTGTGTGGGACTGGCAGAAAGAGAAGCAACTTGCAGATGTGAAGGTGCTTAAATCAGATCTTTCTTCTAACAGTGTGTTTAATGCACGAAAAATAAGGTGCATAGAACCAGTAAACTAGTTTACACAGTTTTTCTCACAGTGCATTTACGTGTGAACGGTAAATATAGATCTGCACATTCCTTTGCTATTTTTGGTATCTGAGCACCTTTTAATTTAACAGTGTTCCAATGACTCCGTCCTGGCTGCTGCCTTCCACCCAACTGAGGCAAACATGATTGTCACTTGTGGAAAATCCCACCTCAATTTTTGGACCATGGAAGGGAAGACACTTACAAAACGACAGGGCCTATTTGAGGTAAACCTATATGCATTGAACAGGGGCGATATCATTAGACAGCTACTTATAGTCATGTCTGTTCAGTTCATCATTCTTCAAATGAAAAAGTTCATGATTGGGTACTGTGAAAATTTTAATTTTGTTTTCTCTGTACAGAAAAATGAGAAGCCAAAGTATGTTCTGTGCCTAACCTTTGCGGAGAACGGCGATGTCATCACTGGGGACTCCAGCGGGAATATCTACATCTGGGGAAAAGGTTGGGGGGAAAAAAGCTAATACTTGTTTTGGTGATACAGGATTTGCTCAGTCTAAACTTCTGGAACAGTGTGCCAATCGGTCCAAGCCCCTTACAGTAAAAAAAAAAAAAACTTGATATTCAATTATTTATTAAGCAGCAGAGTATTACCTCTGGATCTATCCATGCTGCGTCCATAAAACCAAGCAAGACCCTGATGAAGATTATTTGATCCTGGGTTTACTATTATACAGGGTGGTGCTAGGCAAGAATTAAGTCAGCCTAGACTATATTTTTGTTTTTTCCTTATAATCAGGAAAACACTGTAGCCTTACACCAGTTTCCCTCTCAAGGCACAAAAACATGTATTTAAACGAATCGGTGTTTCTAAATTCCCCTAAGTGTGGGGGTGTCTTGTGATGTCCTGGCATTTCCTGCCTTGTGTCCTATGCTTTCTACTATAGAGTCCGGGCTCCCGGCTGTCCTGTACTATGTCAGCAGCCGTGCAGGATGGATGGATGAAAGTAAAAGTGCAGCATTTACAGGGCTTGCATAATTTAAATGTTTATTTTCTCTCTGGCAGAGAATCAAAATACTGGCAGCAATAATGAATCATAAATGCAAAAACATACTGAACAAATGCAACTCTTAAATAATTAGACACAGTAAAATTGGCCAAACTGGGCTGTTTTCGGCTTGCTGTAATTGATTATTTTAAACACAAAAATGATGCACAGACCAGACCCTGAATATTAATGCTCTGAATAATAAACATGTTTGCATTTTTGAATAGCGACTCCAAGTTCTACTGTACAAATCACTCTCAGTAATGATTGGAACAGATAAATGATTGCACTCGCATAAAATAGAATTTTTTATGTAAATTACTGTTGCTGTCATCCATAGTGTAGTCTCAGTTTTTAATCAGTTCTGCGCCAAACAGCCCAGTAGATGGTGCACGGTGCTCTGTTCCTGTTCATTCCTGGCATGTTGTTTATTAGTCTTGTATGCTGACTATTCATGAAATCTGACCTGTCTGCCTTCCAAACATGTATCCTGTATAGGGTCTCCGGGAGTTAATCTTGGGCAACACAGAACAGATGGACACACTGATTATACACATTTATATGCGTGTAATCCATATAATGTTTGTTATTAATGTATATTAAAGCTGTTAAGGGATGTTAGGATGTTAAGGTAAACTTATATGCTGCTTATGAATGTTCTATGAATGCATTATGCAGGTGCAGTTAACGTAAAGCGTTACCTTAAATTCTATGTATCAATGTTTCCCAATCCAGTCCTTGAGGACACGCAGACAGTCCACATTTTTGTGCTGTCTTCGCTCCCGGTAGGGAGCTGTGAGGGTGCACAACTGTGCACTGTCTGGCAGGGAGCTGGGAGGGAGCAAAAACATGGACCGGCTGTGGGTCCCCGGGGACCGGATTGGGAAACACTGACATATATTTATTTGTTATGGCATTTTGAGGATATTTAATTTTTTTTTTTTTTTGTGCATTTGATTGGCAGGTGGTTATCGGATTACTCAGGTGGTGTCAGGGGCCCACGAGGGAGGTATTTTCGCCCTGTGCTTGTTGAAAGATGGGACTCTGGTGTCTGGTGGTGGGAAGGACCGAAGAGTGGTACAGTGGAATCATGACTATCGCAAGCAGAATGAAGTAGAGGTAGGCAGCTATTAAATAGTTAACTTTTGAACAATTAAACAACACTGTCCTTTTATTGAAGGGGTTGTGCAGCATGACGCTCATGGTCGATGGGCAGTATTGGGCAGCGCTCTTTGTTAATCTTTAAGGAAACCTAAACATTTAAGGAACTAAAATGTTGTATGAACATCTGTTTCTGTAGCATCGCTAAATTATTCATTGCGCTATATTTCAAACTTAGGGTGTTATCTCCCCTGAAGTGTAATTTTTACCAAATACTATTATTCTCAGTTTATGAAAGGGTGCTTAATATTTTGGAACCATGTGGTTGAGGTTACGTAACACAAACTTTATTTTGCCTTACGTTGGGTTGTGGGAGAGCTTTCATTTTTAAGGGTGTTTCATTTTGATCTCGTTAATTACAGGTACCCGAGATGTTTGGCCCAGTTCGCTCCCTCGCGGAGGGGAAGCAAAACGGGCTGTTTGTGGGGACGACCCGCAATGCCATCCTTCAGGGCTCTTTCGCTGGAGATCTAAGTCCCATTGTCCAGGTACACGAGCAGCATTTTATACCAATGTTAAATATTACATGATTATCAAATATAACCATAATGTTTTACATACACTGTTGCACAAAACTCGATTTTGACATCAAATTTGAATCTCTCCCTCTTTGGAAAGGGGCACACTGATGAACTCTGGGGTCTGGATGTTCATCCCACCAAGAACTGGTTTGTAACCTGTGGCCAGGACAAACTGGTGCATGTCTGGGATGCCACTACTCACCGGCCCCTGTGGAGCAAGTACATCGAGGTGCAAAGCTGTTTGATAGTGAACTTCAGATTCAGTTTCACTTCCTGATAACGCCGCATAATCAACTACTGTCTTGTCCCTCGTGTCTTTTCCAATTACCCTGTAGGATGCTGCCCGGTGTGCGGGTTTCCACCCCAGCGGTGAAGTTGTTGCAGTGGGCACCATGACCGCAAGGTAGACCGTGAATATAGAAGCTCAGTGCTGAATGATTTATAACATTTGGTAACACTTAAAGCAGTCATGATAATGCACTATAGACACCTTCATAATATAGCCATATTTATAATATTTCATGAATGCATTATAATGCATTATGAGGCTTTCTTTAGTGCATTATATGTGACTGCTTTAAGTAAAGCGTTACTGAAATTTTGTTGTAATTTTATGTAATGAAAAATGCTGTTCCTGAATTATAAAATTAATTATCACAATAAACCAAATAGATGGGGATGATGTAAGTATTAAATATTAAATGCAATACTTATGCCCATTTCATATCTTCTGATCAGTCGCCACTATCTCGCCGTATAGAATCACAATACATATCTGCTTATTATTCCTTTTATGTGACTGGTATAGGAACCATAAAATACAACCAGGCTGGGATATTTTTCAACATTTTCATGTCAATTTGCAGGTTGATATAGCAGGGCTGCCAACTCTCACACGTCTGACATGACACTCCCGCTTATGCAAGAAGCCTTACGGCAAATCTATATTATTCAATTGTAAAACTAAAATTAAGATTGCGAGCTTGACAGACTATTTGTCTCATGCCAACCAGTTGACTGAAGTTGGTGACACTGACATAGACTGGAATTCCTCCTGGTAATCCAAATGGCAGACCAAAGCCTAACAGAAAATTTAAAATAGGAAATGATAAAGAAATAAAGAAGAACATTCAGCTGGAAGCGTCACAAAGGGGTTTTGTGCCTTGCACAAGTCATTATTAGGAAGTAACTACATTGCTGAGCTATTTTTTTTACCATAGTGGAGATTACATTGAAAGCTGGTTTAATAACTCGTATAGTAACACTCTGCATAGCCTCTAATTCTGGGGGCCCCCATGGGAATGTCGTAATGTGTTCTTAACAAAGCCTTAATAATGGTAACCAAGTAGCAGCATCTGCATTACAAGCATTACTTTGCTCATATGTACTGCTACTTAAATGCTGATGAGTAAGCTCGTTTGAGTCAGCGTGTGGTCAGGACCTCATAGAGTAATATACTGAAAATGCTAGTCTGCTGACACGCTTTGTGATGACTGCAGATGGTTAGATGTGTGGTTAAGATATATCTGGCTGCTTTGCATTGAACATGCGATGAGAGCGGCTGAAGAAATTTCTAAAGAATCTCGTTCATTTTACTGCTGTTCTGGTAATTAAGAAAATGTACATTCACTTAATGCTTCCTTGTGATGTCTGGTGCCTTTTTGGAATCAGAATGAGGTTTATCGGCCTTATAAAGTTCACGTTTAGGAATTTGGCTTTGCATGGTGGTTGCAGTGACGTGCAACAAACGGCAAGCGGAGTACAGATAGGAATACAGAGATAGCATTACATCTTCTCGTAATCAGCAAGAGACACAGCATTAAAACTTAAATGTACAGCGCTGAATACAAGCAGTTGTGATAATATACTTTTGTCATAGTGGGTATGTACTATCAGTTCAGGAGAGCCACTATAGCAAGAAAAAGCTGGTTTTGTGTCAAAGTTCTTGGTGTTAGTAGCTGGGATCTAGACCCAATAATGACAGGCTGAAAATGCAGTTAGCAGAATGTGAGGAGTCGACAGTGATTCTGCAGCTATTAGATGTTACGGAAAGATTTCAACTTGTAAACAATGGGTATGAATGCCTAAAACACAGGTACTTTAGCATGGTAAGCCTTTACGTACGAGATCAATTCTGACTGCTGTAGATGTTGAATGTCCATTCTGACCCAATTGCTGTTTATTTTGACCCACTTAGGTGGCTGGTCCTCGACACTGAAACTAGTGACCTCGTTTCCATGCACACCGATGGCAATGAGATCATCTCCAATGTCAAGTATTCACCAGGTAGTGCACCATATTTTATTTATTTGTTTGTTTATGTATTTATTTCAAACCTCTGAGGAATCATTGTATTATTTTCAGTATAAGGAAAATATATATTTCATTATTGTGATGTCCAAAGTGTGATGTCTTTAGTGCATGTTAGCATTGTTCTGACAGAAAAACGCATTGTTTAATTCAGCATGGTTTCCTGATGCTTGCATGCCTTACCGTTATAATTAAAAATACTAATAGAGATGTAATGTATTATTCCGTAAGGAGGCAGGAACAAGTATCAGCTTTTGCTGTATGTATCACACGCACAAGCGTGTGGTTTTCAAATTTCACAGATACTCATTCTCAGTCTCAACCATTGAGTTGCATTTTGTAGGTGAAACAAATTTGTTAGAGGTTACAATATTAATGTTACATGTTACTATAAATGCACTTGTGTAGAATTACTTTAAATTACTTCACTGGATGGATGGATGGATGGATGGATGGATGGATGTCATCTCAAGTGGGATGTGTATCCAGCAACATATCTAGTTCAATATAAGATAGCTGACAGACAATCTTGGTGCTGGTGTACTTTTATTGGGAAACGAAATGTTCCCAAACTGCCCATTATGACTGACCGTAACCAAAAGTTAGTCGTAACCAACTCAAAGCCACTATTAGCATAATCTCGGGGTATTTACGAATTTAGGTTCCCCCAGTGTCAATAAATGTATTTCATTCATTGTGTGTAACAAACCAAAAATGATGTACCAAATGGTACATGACACACATGTGTACCTTTACAGCCCTGTAACATTAACAATGTAGCTAGTGACCAACACAACTGCCATTTTTTGAATGTAGTCTACTTTTGTATTTTAGTTGCATGAAAATTTCTATTCATAATAAATGCAAAAATAAAACTGACTTTAACGTCTTTAGCACCACATCTGAAATGAACACCAAGTCTTTAGAGAGCGAATGTGACATTTTGTCACTGTATTTCAGTAAACATGACCGTAATTTGGGGTTACTTGGTGTGTGTCTCAAGTATGACATTTAAGTAAATTTCCACTAATTCAAAATGTTTATTTTTAAATAGATGGGAACTTCCTTGCAGTGGGATCTCACGACAACTTTATTTACATCTATGCGGTAACAGAAAATGGAAGAAAGTATAAACGATTGAAGAAATGTACGGTGAGTATATTTTGCCTACTTCCGGAAGCAAAAGCACGTCTCTCAACAAACTTCTAACGAGTCTCCCTGCTTAATAACAGGGTCATTCCAGCTTTGTGACCCACTTGGACTGGTCCAGTGACAGCCAGCACATTGTCACCAACTCTGGCGATTATGAAATCTTATTCTGTGAGTTTCTTCTTCAAAAATGTCTGCATAGAATTCACTTTTACTGAAGCATGAGTTGATGAAAGTTTTTTATTTTTTAAATGAATTTGTCAGGGGAATCTGCAAGTAGCAAACATGTGACGAGTGCAGACGCTTTCCGGAACCTGGACTGGGCCACCTCCACCTGTATTCTGGGCTTCACTGTCTTTGGTAAGGCAAAATCTGGTTCTTTTAGATCAAATCAATTCACATTCAGGTGCCAGGCATGTGTCCTTATTCTAATGGAGCTTTTGTCTTGATGCAGGCATCTGGCACGATGGTGAAGATGGCACTGACATTAATGCTGTGTGCAGGTCACCTGACAGCAAACTCCTGGCGACTGCCGATGACTTCGGCAAAGTCAACTTGTTCTCTTACCCTTGTTCACAACCACGTGTAAGCAAAGTTCTCTGTGTATTACCTGTTCTTTAGGAAAACATTCTGTGTTTAACTGAAACTTTAAGAGTAATTCCAGCGTAACACAGCATAATTCTATACTTTAGAAAGTACCCATGGTGTTATACAGTAGTTATTATGTAGGATGTATTTTTATGTCAACTTATGCTAATTACTTTAAAAATACTGTTTATATAATAATGTGTTTATTCACTATATATTGTGTTTATATATGTATGTATGTATGTATGTATGTATGTATATCTTTATATCCTTGTATACAAATTCTAGATATATTATGGTGAATGTTTTTAAGTTTTCAGCCAAAGAATTGTACTGATTTTAAAAGCCCATCTCTTGCAGCACGACTGTAAACGAACCAAAAATCAGGTAAATTGGTTCAATATGTAACACATTTCCCATTGATATCAATTTAGGCACCTGCCCATTCTTATGGTGGACACAGCAGCCATGTGACCAACGTTGCCTTTCTACTTGACAACAGTCAGCTGATCTCTACTGGCGGAAAAGACACAAGCATCCTGCAGTGGGCGATCAGCTAAAGAGAACTTGGTGCATTTCACTGAAGCCTTCTTTCCTCTAGCTGGCAGTACTGCTGTGCCTAAACCTGTTTCTTAACCTCATTCTGCTGTCTGAGTGTACTGTACTGTACTATGCTGAGTAGCCACTAGATGGGGCTGTGGCAAAAAAGGAAAAGCATGCGTAGAAGAATAGTTAATGCTGTTGGGAAAGATAAAGAAGCTTCTGCTGTCATTTCAAAAGTGTGTGATTCTATATCTACATATATACATATATCTATATATACAGTGCTGGTCAAAGGACTGGACACACCTACCCATAGAGAGGTTTATTTGTACTATTCTCTACATTTTAGAATAATTATGAAGACATCAAAATTATAAAATAACATGTGGAATTATGCACTGACCAAAAAAGCATTTAAAAAATTATTTGGTGGGTGGATCGGGCCGGTATGTGGGTTGGAATGTCGGCGGTTCAAAGCCCTGGGTTGATCCCATCATGGGGCCCTTGAACAAGGACCCTAACCTCAATTGCTCCAGGGACTGGCTGACGCTACTGTCTCCTCTACACCAGATCCATGAGGTGGCCTCCTGGGATGCATTTCCAGCTATCCTGAAGGAGATCCCACATATATGTTGAGCTCTCATTGGCCGCTTCTATGGTCAAATGCCTCCAAAACCATCTCTACCGTGTTTAGGTCAGGTGGCCTGGTCATGTGGTGTGACAGTATCACTTTTCCTTGTAGGTGGCTTGGCGTGTCCAAACTTTTGCCTGGTACGGTGTGTGTATATATAAAATCAGTATAAGTAGACCTGAAATTTAAATATCTAAACTTGATGTGATGCACAGAACTGTAATCCTTGATCTTTTAACATAAGTATAGGATTTGGTCCTTTTTTCTTAGATTTTCTACCTGAATAAACATATATAAACTGTTTAATTTCAATGTTCATGCATTAAAAATGCAATAAAATAAAAAGAACCATGTATATTCATTGTCATACCAGGTGTCAGCTTCGGGTTGGGACGCGAGCACGGAAGCAGGCGAACGAAGCCAAAAGGTCCAGTGAAGGGTTTATTCGAGGCAAAAGGACA